CTAATCCTTTACTAAGTGTACCTCAGTACTGATCTCCCCTCTCCGGGATGTGACTTGAGTTTGTTGTGGTAGCAAACATGTGTTCAGGAAAACCGTTCTGCTTGAATGCTGTCCAGTCGGCATTCACATTTATGATTTCTGCTCACTTTTTACGAGAAAATCGCCAGCTGACGAAACAAAAGAAAACAACTCAGGGAACAACTTAGCCCTGGTCGAACCACGCATTCGGTGTTGCCCAGAGTATTCCAGTGACGGTTGATACTGAGGTAGGAAGCAAAGAAATTGTCGCATGCCTCAAGCTTTCTCATTTGACCTGTTGTTTTTCACTTCATTGGTATGTGACTTAAACTATATCTTTTCATTTACAAATTCAGTATCAAATAAAAACTATTTAGTTTTCATTAATGTAATTGTAAACAAATTGTCATGCTGCAACCACACAAATCGTGAAAATATTATTTCAGTGTGTGATGTAACTTTTTGTCTTCTTTAGGATTCCGAGTCGTTGGGGTTAATTGCTGCAGGTTTACCCCAACTTTATTCATTTCTCTTATCGGTCTTCTCTTTCCAGTGTATGATATAGTCTTTGTATTATTATTTCTATTATATATTTCTACAGGGTTTTCTTAGTCTGCCTTGTAGTCTACTTCAACTCCTCTGTGAATGCAGTTTTTGTCTGTCTTTCTCTCTGACACAACCGCTGAATCTTGATGCCACAAATTTGTGATTTCAACATCTTTCAGTATTTTAATTCAGAAACTATTTAATCTAATAGTTTCCCCGTCAGCTTTTTTTCCGGGGAAAGGTGGGGGGGGGGGGGGAATTGGGGGAGAGGTTTAACTCCGTATGACCTAAACTTTTTCCTGGTCAGCATGTTTGATTCTTCCAGGGTTTTGCTATTTATTTCAATTATGTTCAGTTGTAGCTTGCATCTAGCAAATTAATGATGTAGCAAACTATAGTTTCCAGTATCTATCAATCATTACCGTTTACGGTTTTGAGTGAATTGTTTCATTGAGAGTTGAAAGACAAAGTAGAGCATATAGTACAAGTGTGAAACTCTTTTGTTACCGTTATTCGTCACATCGGTTCACTATATTTCATCCTATCCATGATCCCGTCCTAGTATAGGACGCATTTTTTTTTTAAATTGTCGTGGGCCCTGTCGTGCTGTTGTCGTGGGCCCTGTCGTGCTGTTGTCGTGGGCCCTGTCGTGCTGTTGTCGTGGGCCCTGTCGTGCTGTTGTCGTGGGCCCTGTCGTGCTGTTGTCGTGGGCCCTGTCGTGCTGTTGTCGTGGGCCCTGTCGTGCTGTTGTCGTGGGCCCTGTCGTGCTGTTGTCGTGGGCCCTGTCGTGCTGTTGTCGTGCTGTTGTCGTGGGCCCTGTCGTGCTGTTGTCGTGCTGTTGTCGTGGGCCCTGTCGTGCTGTTGTCGTGGGCCCTGTCGTGCTGTTGTCGTGGGCCCTGTCGTGCTGTTGTCGTGGGCCCTGTCGTGCTGTTGTCGTGGGCCCTGTCGTGCTGTTGTCGTGGGCCCTGTCGTGCTGTTGTCGTGGGCCCTGAATATGACCTCACGATTGTACGGGGTTGTGGGATCTTGCGCCCGGGCGATTCTCCTCCGAATGTTGGCACTTTGTATCATCGGTACGGGTTTATCCCTCGTTGTACCTTCCTGGTGAGGCTGAATGTCAGTCACTCAGCAATTCTTTCTAAAGGACGTTTGGAAAGGAATTCCGACCGGCCTCTCACTTAAGGATAGGATAAAACGTTATCTAATTAAAATAGTGGGAGAGATAGGGCTCTTGATTTGTGGTCTTAGTTTTACTACCAGGATTTTATAGTAAAATATGAAATGTTCTCTTAACAGGCATGGAGTGTGGTTTTGACGTCACATTCACCAGCGAGTTAGACCGACGCTTCCAGTGTCCCATTTGTCTGCTAGCCTTAAGGAGCCCCGTGCAGACTGCCTGTGGTCATCGCTTCTGCAAGCTTTGCATCAACAAAACCATACCGTACGTTTGTTGTATGATACAAATCGACAGGTTTTAAATTGTAGGATCCCCGTGTGGGTTCCGGGTCCTATTGTAGGGAAAACAAAAATAGACCCACTGCCTACCCAGAAGCATGTCGTAGGAGTCGACTAATTAGGAGCTTCCTTCGAAGTCGGGCTGTATCTGCCTGAGGCAAGGAATCAACAGTCTGCATACAAATGTCAGATCTGTAAAATCGATGTGCATACAACTTAGGTTCTGGAACAGGACTACAGTCTAGATGTGGACAAATAATCAGAACTTTCCACTGGAGTTTACAGCTTGTGAATGCGAAAAATAACTGTAGAAAAGGGCCGTGTTAGCAAGTCTTCAAAATACAGAAAAGTCTTCACCTTGCACTTTGTCATTACCTTATTGGTGTGGAAGAGTCTGCTCTTGCTACGTGTTTCTTGTACATCAGCAATTTTCTAAAAGGGGTTTCCTGAAAATTTCGACATAGGCAGTCATTGTTACGAAAATGAGTGCACTTGAGAACTTTATAGCGACTGACAAGATGGCTGGAAATATTGATGTAAAGAGAAAAAGGGGACGGCAAAAATAAATACTTGGATATGCCTGGCTATACGGATGTGACGAGACAATAACACTGACCTGATCCGTGATTCTGGTGATGTATGAGACCACAAAATATGTCTACGCTTATCGGCACGGCACGGCACATGATTTACTGCAGTTTCTGGATATCCACTTTACGTATTTGGGAACCGCCTTTTTTTTCTGAATACAGCAGAACCTAATAAAAAAAAAGGTTTCGTAATTATTACATCAATGAATATTTTAAGGATTATTTTGGCAGCAAACTGAGCAACATTTAATTTTGTTTGCACATAGTTTTCTGCATTTGCCAGTTACTGTCATATAATCAGTTACTGGTGTCACTGGAATTGGAACTCACTGCTTGCTGCTGAAGATGGGGACGGAGCACTTATGTGGTTGTCCCGAGTGCTGTGATGGCGATTCTTAATTCAACATTATGCATTTGCCAATCAAAAACTTATAACTTAATTTTACGTGGATTTATTTGGAACACAAACCGAAAATATAACTCAAAGCATTAACTTCTCTGCAACCTGAAATGAACTTTACTGTGATGCTTATGTGCCCGGCTTAAATGTAAACCGGATAACTTCAAAAACAGTCTAGAATAATTTTACGACCACCATATCCAGGTCATAATTTGATTACAAGACTCTGTGGCACTTAATATTTCCAGGTACAAGAACACAGTTTTGACTTGCCCAGTTGATAAAACGTACACTAAAGTAAGCCAGGTAAGAACTCAATAACTTCGTGTGTATTCCCCCCCCCCCCCCCCCCCCCCCCCCCCCCCCCAAAAAAAAAAAAGCAAACATATTAGAAACTCCCGTACTACCACAGATAATCTGAGGATTGTGGGAGTAGCATGCCCACATCTTTACTACCAGGTGTCGCTTACTTAGCTATGTAGACCCATTGCCCCCCTCTTCCATCCTCCTCCTGTCACTCTCTTAATGCATTAACTCTGAGGCCCAGACAGTTGTTGTTGTTGTTGCCTGTTTTTTTTATTTTTTTTATTTCAGCCTGTCTGCCCTTCAAGGCAAAAGTCTTAAAAGGTTGAAACAATAACAATTATGTAACAGTATGAGTTATCAATACTTTAAATATGTTGTCAGTATGAGCTACCATAATTGGATATGTAAAAGAAACAGAAGTTAAAAAATGGTTACATTGTACAGAGAGATTAACATATAATGCGTTGGACTGAGTTAATATTTAGACAAGCAAGACCGACATAGGACTACATGGAACTTTTTAACCGTTTTGGGGTGCCCTAATAGAACTACTTTATGACTGGAGTTACCTTCCAGGATGCGCGCCTCATTCTTGTCCTTAAAATATTAATCCTACAGACTGCTATCATGCAGTAGAAAAACTCAGCGCGGTCCATAGTCCGTTATTGGCAAACTCTAGAAGAGCCAACCTGCGAGTTCCTAGTGGGAGTATGCTGGCAGTAAAGTGAATAAAACAAGGAAAACGCCATCCTTAGCGTCTATTGTTAATCTCAACCATTCTATTTACGGTCTTGTCTTCCCACTCACTGCTACTGTCTGACAGTTTGACCACCCATACGACTTTGACATCCTGGATCGTAAACCAAGAGCAAAGATGTCCAGTTCAAACTTCACAGAAGTTTTAATTAGGGCACCAGTAAAATCTTCACTAAGTGCTACCGACAGGCAGCCTGCAGTCCTATTCTGGTGGTTATTTGTTACGTCTTGTCTTGACTTGCTTTATGGGAAAAACAAGCACGTTCAACCAGCATTCCCGGGGTGGGGGGGGTTATAATTGTGACCAGGTTATGTGCGTCATATAAAATGGCTCAAAATGACTCGCCACCAAGTAGCCCCGAAAAAGACTCTTGCAGTGTGGATGCGATCAAGAGAGACAACCCCACTGTCCGACCGACGACGAAGCCGTCTACCGACCCAGCCAATGGACGACCCTGTCGCAGATGCGTTGTTACACGCTATTTCTGGTCTGTTTCATATCATCACATTGTGAGGTTAAACATTTCGAGCTAGCAGCTCATTATCTTTCTGTGCACTTAGATACCGTGGATAGAATCCATTTCAACACCTGACTTCTAAACATCCTTTGTCTTCGGGCTTCTGTTGGTCGTCTTTGTTTGCACAATCCATTTGTTTCTCATTTGCTTTATAGCAAACCGAAACAATCTGCACAATTCATCCATCAATCCACCCATTTATGAGAATAAAACAAAATCTACCACATTCAACCTACTGCAAGCAATTTTGGTTATAGTCTCGCAGTTTTGTAGTTTTTTAAAATAGTGGACATAGTTTGTTTGATCTTTCACACGTCTAAACTATGCTTTCGCTTGTAGTATATTCTGTAATCATATTTTCCTTGTGTAATTGGATGGGAACTTAGAAAAGTTATATTCCTTCCAATACAGATGTTTCCAGACTTGGCCACGGAGAGGGAAATCTTGTCCCTGAGGGTACAGTGTGTAAATGTCATGGAAGAGTGCGCCTGGACTGGAGACCTTCGTGAGTTAGAAGTAAGTCTTTAGACTGCATTATCTGCTGAAGCTTGTTCATTATCAGGTCTTTGTAAGTTCGCCAATTGTGCAGTCTAAACCCCCACTAGCAAGTGAGCAGGTTCATTAGAACAATGTAAAGCCCATTAGTGTCGTGGGGGTGTATCGATGGAAGCACTAACCCATAAAACCTGCCACTTTCCAATCTTCCGCTTGGTGAATAAGACAGAGTCCTGTCCATTTCTTTGTTGTCATTCCAGGTTCTTCCTTGCCCTCCCCTTCAACTACCCCCTCCCCCATCCACATCCTAATGTTGCTTGAAGCAGTCTTTGCAATCGAATGTCTGTCTTGATGCTTGGAGTTTAATCAACGAAATCATGCAGATGAAATTAAAACATTTTGTTGAAGCTGCAGAAGTTTGTATAGAATAACACGGGCACTATTTAAAATATGTGGCAGTTTACAATGTCTTCTTTCTGGTTTAGCAATCGTGTCCGCATATTCGATCGATCGAAAGTGTCCTCTCCTGGCTGCTCTCTAAAAAACAGTTTTATCATACTATGAGATGTAGATGCCATTCGGACGGCAGACCAAGACATCCCAGAAATCTCAACCCCCAAAGCAGTTGTTTTTAAGGCACCAATAACGGTTACTCCAGCCGTGTGCAACCTGCATTTCCATGCGGGTAATGACACAAGTATGGCTGAAGCTTAACAACAGAAAAGGAAAGGTACCCACAAGACAAAAATAATCTTAGCTAAAGTCTTTATCAATTAACAAAACTAGACTACCTAGTTGCAGAAACAGTCATACAGAAAACGAATCCACATAAAAGCGCTTTTTTGTTTCCATAAACCATCTCTTTGTCGGGTGTGTTATTTCTCTAGCTGTTTTCAGAGGAGCAGCTGACCGAGTGGTTAGAGCCCTAGACTCATGCTGGCGACATGAGTTTGATCCTACAGGACCTTGTACATTCTTGGTTTTCCCTCCTGTTTTGTTAAATATAATGGTCGTTTCATTTTGCAAGTAAGCATCTGGATGTTTTGGTCTGAATGTTTTCAGCACCCAATGGCTGATGTAATCAGCATCACGTCGGTCGAATTTACTTCCATAACTATACCTCTACTCAAAGCTTCACTGACCTAGAAGCCAATGTCTACTCAAAGCTTCACTGACCTAGGAGCCAATGTCTAACTCAAAGCTTCACTGACCTAGGAGCCAATGTCTACTCAAAGCTTCACTGACCTAGGAGCCAATGTCTACTCAAAGCTTCACTGACCTAGGAGCCAATGTCTACTCAAAGCTTCACTGACCTAGGAGCCAATGTCTACTCAAAGCTTCACTGACCTAGGAGCCAATGTCTACTCAAAGCTTCACTGACCTAGGAGCCAATGTCTACTCAAAGCTTCACTGACCTAGGAGCCAATGTCTACTCAAAGCTTCACTGACCTAGGAGCCAATGTCTACTCAAAGCTTCACTGACCTAGGAGCCAATGTCTACTCAAAGCTTCACTGACCTAGGAGCCAATGTCTACTCAAAGCTTCACTGACCTAGGAGCCAATGTCTACTCAAAGCTTCACTGACCTAGGAGCCAATGTCTACTCAAAGCTTCACTGACCTAGAGCCAATGTCTACTCAAAGCTTCACTGACCTAGGAGCCAATGTCTACTCAAAGCTTCACTGACCTAGGAGCCAATGTCTACTCAAAGCTTTACTGACCTAGGAGCCAATGTCTACTCAAAGCTTCACTGACCTAGGAGCCAATGTCTTTAAAGTTGGGCTCTCTTTGGATTACATCCACCACCTTCAGATCCGCAGGCTAGCGTCTAACCGCTGCACCACAACGGGTTCCATAACACCAAGTAATAAAAGCTTAATTTTGTAGTCTAAAAATTTGGATAACAATTGTAATCTGTTAAGCTCATAATTTATGTTTAAACTTTAAACTTGTGTTTATATACGGGTAAATAGATTTGCCATACTCAACTATCCACAGAATCATCGCAAGGTTTGCCAGATGGAGCAACTGTTGTGCAACAATGGCTGCACAATGTCCATAAAGCGCAAGGATGTAAATCACCACGAAGAAAGCTGTAGCCATAGACTGGTGAAGTGTCCATACTGTCCTGCAAAAGTCGTCCTGTATCTGCTCAAGGTAAAAAATTCATTATAGATTATTACTATTTTCTACTGCTTAGCATTCACGTTCACCGGCTGTAAACTTCGGGGTACAGTTCTGGTTGTTCGGCCACTTCTAGATTTTAGTCTTGTTCCAGAAAATGAGTTTTGTGCGCAGTTTTCTCAAAAACTAACATTGGCTCCCACGTCGATTCATCTAGAGTACCAGGTAATGGTTTGGGAAGTGAAGGCGGCCGGCGTGATGACCACATTACTCATCGAGTGTCAGTTCTTTAAAAATATAGATCTAGCACTATATGACTGTTGCACCAAAAACGTGAGGGTCATTTCCTTTTTTTTTTTTTTTTTTTTTCAACTTGTCACGTCACCAATGCACGTGAAGTTGCCTGGATACACGTTTAGCATGTTACCCGAAGGCCCAGGTAAATTCAATTCCACCTCCAAGGGGTTGGATCACATGTCCATCATCATGCTGAAGGCAAGAGTTCTCAAAACATCACTGACGAAGTCTTCTATCCCACAGTGGAGCATAGGCTCTCAACAACCCCACGCCTTTCGTCCTATTCACTATTGCATGCAGCTCACCCCATGTCCTTCCCCATCTTTCTAAGCAGCTCATCCTATGTCCTTCCCCATCTTTCTAAGCAGCTCATCCTATGTCCTTCCCCATCTTTCTAAGCAGCTCATCCTATGTCCTTCCTTATCTTTCTAAGCAGCTCATCCTATGTCCTTCCCCATCTTTCTAACGTCACCCTTTAGCTGCTCCCTTCTCTAGTTTTTTGGCCTCCCATTATTTGTGTCCCTGTGAGTCTCTGCAAAGACATTCTAAATATATTGTTCTCAGGTTTTCTCATCGTTTTATCCAACAACAGCGTCCTTTCTTCCCCACTTGATCCACTTGAACTTGTTTAGTTCTACCTCAAAGCTCAACATTTATGGTTCTGTCATACCATTTAATTCCCTCTATCTTTCGCAGGCACCAATGAATGTTTACAGTTTATTAGTAACTGTTTCAGTTCTTCATGTTTCCGCTCCATACAGTAGTACTGATTTGGGCATTGGAATGAAAAACTTAAGTTTACTGTTTTAATTTCTTTTGACCTCCACAAATTTCCTATTGCTATGAAAACTTCTGTTTTGTATTCGTATTTTAATATATGTTTCCCTATCTTAATCTACAATACTGACTAAATATGTGTACTCTCCACATCTTGGAGTAGGAAACCAATAAGAGAAACTACATTACATTACAGGTTTATTCTTATCTTTATTTCCCCTGTGGGTTTTTAGACCTAGTTGTGATCTTGCATCAAATACAGTGGAACCTCGCTTAACGAGCATAATTCGTTCCGGAATCATAATCGTTAAGCGAAACCCTCGTTATGCGAAACAATTTTTCTCATAAATTAATATAAAATACGATAATGCGTTCCATGTCGAAAAAAAAAAATACTCACAAAATGCTAAGTATACGGAGAGTGAATCCTCTTTTCTTCAAACGCGGAGCAAACCTACCTGGAATGCGAATTCGATTTGCAGAAAAGTCAAAATAATTAGGATACATAGCTAATTATTTTTTTTTCACTAGAAAGATGTCCAGAGACATTTGTTTTTACTGGAGCTTCAAAATTTGGCGAAAATGCGACACATTATCATAAAATAAATTTGCTATGCGCATAACCACTCATTATTACGATGATGCTGCTCAGTAAGATGCAACAGTTTGCCAAGCTTTCAGCATTTCTCTTTTTTCGCCAAAAGATTGTTGCTTTTCTGTTACCTCCTCCTCTGACAACCTGTCCTCCAAAACGTCTTGCTGTGAAACAATGCAAATCCATAAGCTCTTCGGTAGTTAGCTCTTGGCTGTGCTCTTCCACAAGCTCTTCGATATCACTGTAATCCACCAACAATTCCATGATAGTGGCCAAAGACACAATCGCGTTGACTACAGGTTCCACAGGTACTATCTCGAATCCCTCAGTCACCAATCGACAACGCTTTCCGGTCAAAGCTTCTTCAAATCATAAGTTAGGGTTCTCTTGGTAATCCCTTGTCCCGCCTTGTCGATCATCTTGAGGCTGGCAACGATGTGGAAGTGATTTTTCCAAAACTCGTTGAGAGTGTGGTTGGTCTCTTCAGTCACCTGAAAACAATGCTCGAAGAGTGCTTTAGTGTGGAGCTTCTTAGTTAGAAATAGCTTGCTGGGCCGTGGGCTGGAGTAACGGAGTGGTGTTGGGAGGCAGAAACTGGATCTTCAGGAACCAAAATTCTTCAGAGAGGTCATCTTGTAGGCCTGGAGGATTCATGTACATATATCACAATATAACACAAGTTCGAGAAAATTTGTGATCACTACGATGCTACTTGAACGAGTGCTAAACAGACTGATGTAACATGCGCACAATTCGGGACTTCCTCTCTCCTCGCCACTCGTTATGCGAAACTTCGCTCGTTAAGCAAGTTATTCTTTTAAAAAATTTGCTCGTTATGCGAATTACTCGTTATGAGAGGTGCTCGTTAAGCGAGGTTCTACTGTATATGTAATTTATCTTGCAACGGATTCCCTTTCGCAGCGGGTGACAGCCAGACTTGAAATCTTTTTTTTTTTTTTCAGCAATAATTTTTCTATGTTGTACTGACAAATAATTTGGATAGGCTGGTATCTTTTATTACTTTGTTGTTAACAGCATGAATACACACTTATTTAATAACGGACTAAACCAGATAATTGTATGTGTAACTGTTTCTGTTAAGTAGTTGTCGGAAATTCCGCATGAGGGGATTGGATCACATGAACGCCAGACTGAAGGCAAGTGTACTCGGCCTAAGGGACTTAACGCCCAACACAGCTTTATTTGATAGTTTGGCTAGTTACAGCCCTTGTGTGCCACAGCTTTTTGTGGCCTATCGTTTTCTGTTATGGAACTTCAACTAGCCAGCCATGTAGATATAGACATGTAGATAACTAGGTTAAATTTTTTTTTGTTCGTAATTATAACAATATCCAATCATGAACTGCGCTGATGAAGGCTTTCTATCCGCCACATTTATTGGTTTGACATAATGTGAAGCTGACTAGTTGTACTTTTCGTTAGGCCTAATAATGTTTGCACTATTTGCTTTCTATCGTTCCCCATGTACCGTGCCTTAGGATCACAAGGAGGCATGTCCAAAGTTGCCAGTGGCCTGCTCACTATGCCTGACAATTCTGCCAAAGGAAGACTTGAAGGCCCACCAGGATCCCTTCGAAGGACAGTGCTCCAAAGCCGTCATCCCATGTCCCTACAGAGACATTGGCTGCAGATTTGAGGTAAGCGTTACTTTGTCTTGGCAGACGCGTATAATCGTGAAGCGTGTCATTTACAGAACGTCGCTCCCTTCAGTCTGTCTGAAAGAAACTCGATCTCCCGCCAGCTTTTCCACCTTGTGTACTTTCAAATCCAAGGAGTCATTTATATCCCGTGCCCATCTTTCGAGTAGGTAGGTCGTGCTCTTTGTTCCTGGCACCTTGCCTTTTTTTTTTAATCTGCCGTGGTGGTGATGACCAAATAATTTCAGCTTATGAGGCAAGATGTTTGTAGGCCAACCTTCCTTGAGGTTCAGATCTCTTAGAATGTCAGCATTTGTGTGTGTGCATAGTGTTCTGAGAATCTTTGATTAACATTACATCTCAAAGGTGCTTATTTTATTTCCCAAGGACAGGGAAATTAAAGAGATTTTTTTTATGGTGCTTAACCATAGACTTTTTAACGCTGTTTAATATTTGTATTTTCTATGGCTATCCTCTCGTGGTCTCAATTGCTGTAAATTATTTAACCTAGTTATTCAAAGTGTGTGATATTGTTTGTTTCTTCATCATTTGTTACTTTTGGTTGACAGCCTGTTTTGTCTGTGGACACGTTTTTTACTCTAAATTCAATAGGTTTTGATTTTCACTGTTTCTAGATAGACATGATTACATTTTCTATTCCCTTTACATTGTTCGAAAGGACTCATCTGCATAGCAAGGTACCTGAATAGTGTTGCAACCAATTTTGAGATCATAACTTTCAGAAGTCGAATCATATAATGTATATTTTTAATAGAGAATATGATTTATCAGTTACGTCTTTAAGTCAAAAGGATTTACTACAATGCACTAAGCTGAATCCAATGGCTTGGTCTCTCTCAAACAGCAGGTCTCCCACGAGTACAAACTCGGCAGCTTCAGCAATGATCCCCTAGGGATTCCCAAACACCTGCACTCAACTGAACTTTGCGTTAACTGGCTGTAAACTCTGGCGGAAAGTTCTGGTTCTTCCTCCACATATAGACTTGTTTAGTTTCAGAACCTGAGTGTTGCGTGCACATCCATTTTAAAGATCTGACTTATTTGTATACAGATTGTTGGTTCCTTGCCTCACAGACGGATGCACTCCCGACTTGAAGGAAGCCCCAGATAAACTCTTACGACATGGCTTATTGGGGAGGCAGTGGGTCTATTGTTTTTGCCAAAATGGGACCCCGGAACCCACACAGGGAATATGAAATTGAATATGAATTTGAACCCATTCTTCTTCAATTGTTTGCCATGGGTCTGTTCCAATACGAGTCATAAACAGGACCATGTGCATGCGGTCTACGCTGGCGTCTCATCGGTTTTCTTGTAGGGAGGCTCCTGTGAGCCACTTCTCCCTTAAGGGCCGAATGTAAGACGGGCCTGCGTGCCCTATTTGTGACCCTTTGAAAAAAGTTCGTTCGTTCGTTCGTTTCCTGGCTGGCCAGAAACTTTTCAGTACTTTTCGGCCAAGTAAAATATTCAAAATTTTAAAACTAAAGGATGGCGGTCGGACATGGAGGAAAGAAGGATAAGGCCCAGAGACGGCGCAAATACCAGAACATTAGCCACGGAAGTGACGCAAATAAACAAGACCACAAATATAACCGGAGACTGTTGTCAGCTTCGGCCGGCTAGCTGCTGGTTAAACCTGGCTGAGTGGTTTGATTTTGTTTTCCTTCAGAGGAATTGACACTGGCAATATGGGACGCCGTTTTTCCATTATCTTAAAGCCCCATATCGGTTGTTATCGACGACCCTAGTGTAACTCAACGGTTGAACTGGGTTTCGTGGACTTGCGCCTCGGTGATTCTCATCGAATGGTGACCCCTGGGATCTACGGGAGTCTATTGCTTGTTGTGCGGTCCTGAAGGGGGTTGAATTTCATTCTTTCATGGCGAACTCTGGGCACTCTTGTAAGAAATGTGAACCTACACTTTCAAGGCCTATGCAAACCGCTTCGTGTCGGACTGATAGCTTTCAGCAGATTCAGTGTAACTGTCTAGTTGTTTTAGCTATTAATGTGTAAGTAATAAGTCATCTATCAAACATTAGTTCAGCAACGTCTTTGTTGTATCTGTACACGTTCTCTCTACCCCCCCCCCCCCCCCCCGGGCCGACTATAATAAAACATGTGAAACTTCTATCTTGTAATTATACATTTAATGTAGAAGTAAAGAGACTATCTTTTCCAGACTGAACGTCATTTGATGGCCGAGCATCTACATCAGACAGAAATTGTACAGCAGCACCTGAATCTGGCATTGCAGCGAATTGTCAAGATGGATCGGACGGTGCAAAATCTGTCTAATACTGTGACTAATCTTGAGGAGTAAGTGTTGTTGTGTACAGTTGACACTCGATATCAATCAGCACATCCTTTATAGAAGGTGGCTCTGGTCACAGTACACCTGAAGGTCTCTTGTCTCGTTAGCCAGTTTTGTGTCGAGGTTTGCATGAGAGATTGTGCCAGACTTCTTATAGTTTGCTTTCTAGCTTTTACATTCCAGTCCTCTGTTAGACGGAGACTGTTGAATGTTGTCTTCCCACTAAAACTAGGGTCTCTTCCTGGAGGACTGGTTCCCTTGTTCTTGTCCTGATGTGGTGGTCGATTCAATTAGCACAAACCAGACCACGAGTATAGCTGATACTGCTTGCAGTAGGTTTACCGTAGTTTGAGTGTGTGTGTGTGTGTGCGTGTGTGTGTGTGCGTGTGTGTGTGCGTGTGTGCGTGCGTGCGTGCTTTTCATAAATGGATTGATAATGAACAACTCTCTCTATTCTGCATACATCTCCTAACCATAATAATTATGACTGATCCACTCATGTTTGTAAGGCCAAGATCATGACGTACTGTCTCGTTGCGAACTTTGTCCCTAAAGTTCCCTATTCCTATCAGTAAGTTTTGCAAACATCTGGAACAAACTAATCCCCATAACCTATGTTCAGCAAGTATATTCGTCTTCTTAAAGTCAATACCGTGGGGCGTTGGTAGTCATGTATGTCCACAACATTCTGTCTCATGTATTTTCAGTCAACTCTGACGCAGATCTTCCATACCATGATGTCGAACTGTCCAGCATCTGTTCTCTTGATCTCCCACTGCCTCTCCTCCCCTCCAACTTTCCTACCATCACGATAAACTCCAGTTTTCTCCTTCTCGTCTCAAACTAAAGAATTTGTCTTCTGATGTTGGCAATCAGTTCTCTTCGTGAGTCAGTTTCTTTCAAGACGTTTTCATTACTCTTTATCTGTCCAGAATATTCTCATTATTCGTCTATAAAACCATATCACCGAAGCTTCCAAATAAGTATATTCTTGTTCCCAGAAACAACCTGTCCGTGATCCCGATGCTGTTGCAAAATGACAAGAAGCATACACAGGCAGCAAGTGAGCTTCGAGAACGTAACATCACAGGAAGGCTACACTGGAAGCTAAAGCTGAGTCAGCACAGACGCAGCTCTAGTTACTCAAGTCCTGCTTTCTATACCGGATGTCCTGGCTACAAGGTACTGTAAGCATTTTAAAGGTTGTAATGACATGTATTGCGTCAGTTATTTTTCATATCTTTCCTTTGTCTTGAACTGTCTAAAAACTGTCACTACTATCGGTTTTACTTTCTAGGGTTGTGTAGACAGGTGGGTCGTGAGCCTGAAGATTTAGGGCTAGTGCTGTCGCCAAGGGCTGTGCAGGTTAGGATGTTTAATTCGGCCGAAAAATTCCATTACTTTACCGAAGGTCGAAACCGGGCTCCCGCATAAGAGCCTGACGTAACCGCTCGGCCAGCCTCTCCTGGCTTATTCTTGAACAAATATTGATAATCATCGCTCTGAGGTCACCTGATATTTTAACTGTTAAGCTTTTCACAATTTGTAACTGTTTATTCCCCCCCCCCCCCACACACACACACAAGGTTAATTAAGACTTAAGAGGCATAGACAAATTACTCAGCATGCTACAGAAGATCACGGCGGGGTACATTCGGAAACAGTGGCTCAATCTGATGAAAACGCAGCATTTCACAAACTCGCCTCAATTTTTGTCCCAAGGTATGCTGGTGTGAAAGGCAAGGAGAGAGCAGACGCTCTGGCTGGCAGTGCTACTATCAGGAATGGTCCTCTCTGGATAGGAGAATCGTCATACGAGAGACTAAACGCTGTGAGGCTTTGTTTCATGGAAACATTTTTACTGAATAGACTGCATACCCTGAGTGTACCGATTGGAACCGCGAGACAGGAAAAACATTCGGGAGCCACCCGTGGTTACATCAGTCAAGTCTGATTGGTAGTTAGCCTAAAAACTTGGAGGCATACTCAGATCGGAGCACTTAGTCTTGTCCTACTGGGGCCAATTCTGCAACGTCCTGTAAAGGACACGCAACTAACTTCAATGCATTAGAGTTCAGTTAAAACAGCCTTCTCCATGTTTAGAGTTCTGTTAAAACAGCCTTCTCCATTGACAACCGACTGACTAATCTCTTGTCTAGTTAATTAGTTGTAACAATTGGTGAGAATTTGTATTAAAGCCATTTATCTAAAGATGAGGCATGTAATTGCAAACTTTTGTATAACCTTTGCGTGAGGTCGGAAAACCCTGACTTGGCAGTCATACAGCTAGATTAATGTATTTCAGGTCAAGGCGTTATTTCAATCCCTTCATGGAATTATTTTAATTTTTTTTTTTTTTTTAAACAAAGTGCTTATGAAGTGGTTCATAGCTAATAATTTGTGCTAGAATTTCTTGTCTTTCCCCTTATCCCGAAATGAAGCAAAAGCCTTTATTTTCCCTGAGTGGGTTCCGGGGCCCTATTACAGGGGAAAACAAGAATAGACCCACTGCCTACCCAAAAGCATGTCGTAAGAGTCGGACTAATTTGGAGCTTCCTTCGAAGTCGGAGTGCATCTGCCTGAAAGGGCAAGGAACCAGCAGTCTGCATAAAAATGAGATCTGTCAAATGGATGCACACGCAACACTCAGGTTCTGGAATAGAAGGGCTGCAGTCCAGAAGTGGACGAGCAGCCATAACTTTCCGCCGGAGTTTACAGCTGGTGAACGCAAAGATTTTCAGTATCCAGAAACCATGAGTTAACCCTTTGGCTATAAATATCGCAACCCTGCGGCATTGATTCCATGATAGATGCCGTAAACCTGGGAGGAATGTGGCTTTTCTTCCTACCCCCTGGCGTGAACCCGGTCCACAAGTTCGTCACCTGGTCGCCATGTAGTCAAGTTTAGTCAACTGCGCTAGCGAGTCGGGCAGGAAAAGCCATTAAACAAGCATCTTCATTTCATTCTTTGCCTGTGCGTCCAACCCATTTCATATCTTCCCCTTCTTATTTAACCGTCTTTTCCATTACTATACACTTTGCAGAGCTGTTATTGTATGTGTACCAAGTATTGATTTTTATTCCCTTCTGGGCTGCTACATTGGTTTAACATCTCTGCAACTTCGGAGGTCACGGGTGAGTAGAATTGTCTGGATCCTTTCGACGACCTGTGATGGGAAATGAACAGGCGGACAGACTGGCTGGCTCTGCACAACACTGTGGAATATTGATGCATAAGGCAGACGTGGTTAGGACCATGTGTGGGAACGTGCATAATTCGAAGTAAATGGATCCACCCCCCCCCTCCCCCGGTCTGGTGAGTGGTGCAACAGTGAGTGACGTGGGGAAGTGGCCGATACTGGACGCTCGGACGAAAAGCTAGACAAACGCATAATTAGAATACTACTGGCACTATTGGTATTGGAACTGCTGAAGATGAGGATGGAGTGTTTATGGGAATGCCCCGAGTGCTGTGATTTCAATTCTTAAATCAACTTAGCCATGCAACTATTAGCTGTATCCTCATCACATCTCTTCACCCTCTTCGGAAGTAATTTATAGGTAAAGTTGTACCCCAACAGGACATCACACAAGCGATAAACACCCGGTGACAGAGTGCCACCACGCGGATGATTACCAGTGGAGAACTCCCGGAAACGCCGTTCAGTCATTAGGCCATATTTAAGGCCCGGCTATATTTAAGGCCCACTGCAAAAGCCAGGGTCGGGCTTCGAAATAACTAAAAAGTTCGTCCCTCATGAGGACGACAGTTATCGTAAGTAATTTATGCCACTTGTAGTGGCCTAATATCCTGTGGTCCAATACATGAAAGAAATGACATAACAGAAGTTTTTATGTCTTAACTTGCATTACTACAAACTTATTAGTCCTGTTAAAGAGATCGTTCTCTACCTAGGTTCAGCTGATATTAGACATGGAAGGACCACGTGAAGGCAGTGTCAAATACACGAAGCTGAGCCTAGCTCTTCTTCCTGGCGATTATGATTACCAAGTTGTCTTCCCCTTCAATGGTACCTGCATGGTGAAGCTGTTCGATCAGGTAATAAATACTTAAACCATCCCTTTATTATCAATTTTAGGTTGTTTCCCCTTGTTTGAACTTGATTGTTGATTTTTCTGTACCTTACCCAAAAATTGCCACTCATTGTTTTCAAATCTGCTAATTTCTGATGCCTGTTTTTCAGGAATTCTGTGAGTCTGTGATAATTCAGTTAAGTAGGCTGGCAGTTCAGAAAAAAAAGAAATGAACATGCGTTTGATTTTAAAATAATATTCATTTTTGGTAACTGGTGTTCAACACTAGATTTATCTGAATATTTATCAGTCCTATCAGTCAGTCCTGTTAATACGTAGTATGCAATTTTTCCATTTCGTCCTCATATCAGGATCACTTGGAAATTTAATCACATTTTCACATAAAGGAATACAGCATTTCCTATGCATTGTTATAATCACACTCCACAATACAATTTAACATACTTAAAGAACCATGTCCACAACACACGAAACAAGCAAAAGGTCAGGCTGAAGTCTACACACCACTGGATAAAAGAACACAGCCTATGACGTCATGTTAGGACGTGTCAGATCTGTCCTAGAGCCGGTCGAGGTGCTACGTAGATGCTCGTATTTACGGCCCCTTGTTTATTTATTTATCCATGACTGGCGTGGTCGACCTCTGGCTCTGCTTCCATTATGTCTGACAGGGCTTTCTGCGATGCAGTCTGGTAGTTGTCATGACACTTGTACAATTTGATTCTTATGCAGTTTGTCTGGTTCTGTCACTTCTTTCCTGATATTTCTTTAGTTATGAAATTTATTTACAAAGCTTATCGGTTTTCTTTCCCATTGCACAGGTGAAGTGCCTTCCTCAGCAAAAGACGCACACCATAAGTGAGCTAGTGTTGAGAGAAGTCCCCAGAAACGCTTCTGGGAGCAGTACCTCTGGCAGCAACTATGTCGACCGCCTTTATAAGAGAGGTCAGTACATGTATAATTATGTCGACCGCCTTTATAAGAGAGGTCAGTACATGTATAATTATGTCGACCGCCTTTATAAGAGAGGTCAGTACATGTATAATTATGTCGACCGCCTTTATATATGTGAGGTCAGTACATGTATAACTAAATCGACCTTCTTTATAAGAGAGGTCAGTACATGTATAATTATGTCGACCGCCTTTTGAAGAGAGGTCAGTACATGTATAATTATGTCGACCGCCTTTTGAAGAGAGGTCAGTACATGTATAATTATGTCGACCGCCTTTATAAGAGAGGTCAGTACATGTATAATTATGTCGACCGCCTTTTGAAGAGAGGTCAGTACATGTATAATTATGTCGACCGCCTTTTGAAGAGAGGTCAGTACATGTATAATTATGTCGACCGCCTTTATAAGAGAGGTCAGTACATGTATAATTATGTCGACCGCCTTTTGAAGAGAGGTCAGTACATGTATAATTATGTCTACCGCCTTTATAAGAGAGGTCAGTACATGTATAATTGTCGACCGCCTTTATAAGGTCAGTACATGTATAATTATGTCGAGCGCCTTTAAAAGAGATGTCAGTACATGTTAAATTATGTCGACCGCCTTTATAAGTGAGGTCAGTACATGTATAACTAAATCGACCGCCTTTATATATGTGAGGTCAGTACATGTATAACTAAATCGACCTCCTTTATAAGAGAGGTCAGTACATGTATAATTATGTCGACTGCCTTCATAAGAGAGGTCAGTACATGTATAATTATGTCGACCGCCTTCATAAGAGAGGTCAGTACATGTATAATTGTCGACTGCCTCCATAAGTCAGGATGTGTATAATCATGTCAACTTTCTTTATGAGAGATTTCATTACCTGTATAATTATGTACTTTAAAGCCACGTATCCTTTACTGGACGTTGCAGAACCAACCCCAGGATTTGTTTGGCTGTTTGGTTGTTGTTTTTTTAAGGTAAATGTACGTTCTTTAGTTTGCCATTGCTTTCTAGATCGGTCGACTCTCGATACGAGTCAATGCAAGACGGTCTGCTGAGAAATCGCCTGCAGCTTTGGTCGAACCCGACATTACGAACCACGTTCGCAACCACCTGCCTCTACAGGTCCTCTATTGACAGTATTAACTGTAGTAAATCTATAAATAATTAAAAAGAACATTAAACATTCGCTTGCTTGTATATTGTATTGTTTAATGAAATGACCTGCTTTCGTTTTCCATTCTCTCCCCCCCCCCCCCCCCCCCCCCCCCTTCTTGTGTTCAGCAGTGCACACAATTGGAAAATAGTTATTTCCTACATGTAATCAATATGTGTTTGGCTTCCCCATTCCCCCAGCTGTGATTCTATATATATTTTCCATTTCCATTCCATATGCAGTGTTTTCATAAAGCATTTATATACCGTCTGAATTCTCCTGTATGTGGCTGCCGTGAGTCCAGTTCTCAAACTTATCCAACAAAATGAACATGAAGAGTGTAAAGTTTTCAATACTGGTTCTAGTTTTGAAATGACAGATGACCTGCCAAGTTCCGTGCCCTTATGGGGAAAAATATGTACCCACTGCCTCCCCAACAAAATGCCGTAAAAGTTGACTATCTGCCTGAGAGGGAAGGCACCGAGTCTGCAAACAAAAGCTAGATCTGTAAAACGGATGTGCACTCAGCAATCAGGTTCTGGAACAAGACTAACTCCAGAGGGAAACGAACATGCTTTTAATTAACGCTTTCTATTCTTCTAGAACTGACCAAGTTCATGAAATGTGCAGATCTTGTTGGCTCTCACTCCCGATACTCGAAGAATGGCTACCTGCACTTTGAGGCGACAGTGGTGCACTCCTACTACCCACAAGACGGTTCCTTCAACCAAGGCTGCGTCTGCTCCGCTTTGATGCCCCATGGACTAGACATGGCGGTGACTCCCAAACGCCCGATTGCCAGTTACAGTGACTCTACAACTCATGCTCAGTCTGCCCAGATCATGCAGCTTTCAGCAATATCTATTGGAAACTGAAGATTTCAGGTTCACATTTTTTTACTACAGGTTTATTAATCCTAAACAGTGGTGTTTTATTCGCGTAGTTGCCGACACTTTGATGTCCAGTGATATTTTTACTCAGGCACCGAACATGCAGCCTTCAGCAGTCTCTATTGAACACTGAGGAATTCACAAATACTGTTTACTTAAAAACAGGTATATCAAACCTAACATTGTGTGCTTTATTCGTGCAGTTGCAGACTTTGGTATTTCACCTTCAGCAGTGTTATGAACTGATGAATTCTCAAGTAGAATAGTCAATGTTTGTACTAAGAGTATATTGAATCTGATCAGTGCTTTATTTGTAGAGTTGCAAACAGTGTAGAATTGTATACCTTATGCTCTAGTACCGTTGCATATTGTTGCCTAGAAAGGTTGCCAAATGCAGTTGAGTGCAGTCTTATTTGTTTACCTACTTCAAAGATAATCACCTTGTTTACTGAAACGACACTTGTGATATTTTAATACTCAACTATAATGGCGTACATAATTCAAGTTCTTTTTACGGTTGCTTTATTTGGAAAATACTTTTTAATTGGCCTTGTGATACATCTTCGTTTTCGCCAATGTGTTTTAACCCCGTATAGTGACTTGACATGTAAAATAAGAATTTGATGTGAATGTAAACTATTACCTACCGCCAAATATACTTTCTCTTCCATATATACTCACAAGTTTAGGCTGGTTGTACATTGAATTCAATACCTAAGGATTTCGTTTTATTTTAAACTGTATCAAACATTTAAAAAAATTTGAATGTATTTTCTTTCTTGGGGAGGGCGGGGAGGGGGGGGGGTGTGCACCAAATTTTTTTAAATTTAACTTTATCAGCTCTATCCAGTGACGCCTGGCCCATCGCAGTGTGTTCTCAAATATTCATTATATCAGATTTACAAAATCTGTCCCCAATATATTCTCATGACAAATTTATCCTCTTCAAACTAATTCGTTGATTTGTTATTTGTCAAAGTGGACATCTTCTGAAAACTGAGACGGAAACAGTCAATGAAAAACAACCATATTCCACACAACTTTGTACCCGTGACAGTAGAATCCAGTTTTGCAATTTCTGCTGTATTTAGTGTACAAAAAATTGATAATTATGTTTAGTGTTAGGGGGAGGGAGAAAGAGAGGGAGAGGAGAGAGTGAAAGGGGCGAGCGAGAGAGAACATGGGGGGAATTGAATAAATGTATTATAAACAGAAGATAAATAAATGCAGATTTTAGGATAATAGTAGCAGAACACTTTAGCACAGCCAGGTATCCGTATTTCGAAATGTTAACAGTATGAAATATTACAGATGCAAGTGTAAATTACAGATGGTAAAACTTCCATAATTTTAAGAACATAACTTTTAATACTCTTTACCTAATTTTGTGTGTGTGTGTGTGTGTGTGGGTTTCTTAGTGTTGAGAATTAAATTGTCTTTATTTGTTTTGCTAAGAAAAGAAAAAAACGTGTGTACAAGATCAAAGTTTAAAAAAAACGTCAAAGGTGTACATATCACAGGCTGAAAGTGTAACTTGTTTTTGACACATTTTATTCTTTGAGCATGGTAAATTGATACTTAATTTCGCTTTCCTGTTTTTGTTTTTTACGGAAATGTTTGTTTGTTTTATGTGCTGTACAGAATAGATTCAACTTGGCTTTTCTAAACCGTACAATAGTTTTGTTTGATGTGTAAAGTTCACATGAGTATGTACATTCTGGTAATCTAAATTGGAAAGACTGCAAGCATTGGTTTGTAACATTTGATTTTTGCAAAAATTTAGACTGACATTTTAAATTAGGAATGATTTTGTTGCTGCCTACTTTATTTCCACGATGCTTGTTTTAGGATAGTCAAAAGTTGCAGTTTTATGTTGAATGTACTTGTGTAAATAAATTTTAATGTACTGGAATTTTATGCAATAAAATTGTCATCAGTCTGAGAAACCGTCCTTGCAAACATTTGTATGGTGCGACTGATGCCTAATGTAAATGAAGTCGTGATTTGATAAGTTTGTCGGGGGGGGGGGGGGGGGGGGGGGGGGGGGGGGGGAAAAGGTGTTGCCTTGAGTATTTTGGTGGTCACAAGTTTATTTCCTTCCTCTCGTAACATAACAAAAATCAAATTACAACTCTTTGTGATTGAAATTGTCTTTAGACCCTTTCCTCTTTCATATTTGGGTTGCTCTTTTCCTGACCAATGAATTCTAAGCATTCTTGTGAGAAAAATCGAGACATCAAGAAATTGTTTGGTTTTATTAATTGTATGTTAACACTGGTTCTAAATAGCATGCGAGATTTTCCTTAACCTCCAGTGGGATGTTATTGCATAAAATGTTCATTCTTTCAAATTCACTTTTAGCCTGTCCTATTATCTCTATGATTGATTTTCCTATTCTGTTCATCTGTATAATAAAACATCTTCCGTCGGATGTTATCCAGATGCCTAGGGCTTTCAAAAAGAAACCAAAACAACGTCCCTATATAGATAGAGGGAGAGGAGATATGAGATGAGAGAGGTGATATGATATATATATTTCTCACTGAGAAATAAATTTCAAGTAGCAGTTACTACTCGTCAGCAAAACCAGCAAGATTTGCTGACTAATTGGGAATTTAGTCAGACTACGCAAACGTGGAAATATACAGTCCCTCCGAAATATAGAGTGCACACAAAGCAGTATTGTAGTCATTGTTCAGAGGTCGTACTAAGTCACCACCACCTTCCAAGTCAAGTCCAAAGCCATTGTCACCAAGTTTTAAGTCACAAATCACCAAGAATGTTTCCAAGTCGAGTGAAGTCACTTATTTCAAGTCATTTACGATTGGGGCATGGGACAAAGCTTATGGATCAATCAAAATTGGGGAGAGGTGGGATGGAAATGGCAGTACGAAAAACTATGTATAAAAGCAGAAGTCTAATGTGACATATGGAATTGTTAAATTCGCCCCAATATGGGACGCAATTTTTATTTTAATGACTCGCCCTGACAGTTGTCGGAGGCATTAAATACAAGATCCGACAATTAAGTAATGAGACTGATTTTATTATTGCCAAGACTAAAATCATATCTAGGAAGCAAAGCATTGAATCTAAAGAGGCAACATTCATCTATGATCTGGCAACTTTTCATCGCCGCTCGATAAGCAGACAACAAAGAAGACGCCATTTTGTTGACCTAGTAGAGGTGATTTGTTACGTAATCAGCAAGTATTTTTAAGATAACATTAAATTTTTTTTAAGCTCGGAAACAGTGCCATTAAAACAGTTTCATTGATGCAGCAAGTTAATGGAGATAATTTTTAGCCCGTGCACAAATTTTCAGTTGGTATTCACAATTCAAAAGTTGTGTGGAAATGATTACTAATGGACCTAGACGCCAAACTTCTGATCGTAATTACGAACTCATTGCAAAAGTCAGAACGGATACAAGATCATTGTTTTACTGTTAGGATGATGGCAGATGAATCTAGTGTTAATAGAGAGACCATTCGTAACATTTTAGTGCAAGATTTTGGCAAGGAAAAATTTTCCTTGTCTGTTTGTACCACATTCATTATCTGCTGATCATAAACACCAGAAAGTTGAGTACCTGAGAGACATCATCAAAATAAGAATTTTTGGCCCAAAAAACAAGTGTGTTTACAGTCTTCCACCCTATTCTCCAGATTTGTCTCCCTGTGATTATTTTATATTCGCAAAATCAAAGTTACGATTGAAAGGACGCTTCTTTAACGATATTGATGACATCCAAAGGCCCGTAACATCGACTTTAAGGGCGATCACAACCGAAGGATTATAGAGGTCGTTCCAGTGTTTGTTAGATCGTGCCACTTACTGTATCAGTGCACAAGGGGCTAACTTGAATCAGACACAAGTTATATCTTCAAATGTTTTTATTTTTATTTTTATGGAATTGGTCTTATTTCTTAATTGTGGACCTTGCATAACCTAACAGTTAAACGCGGTTTCTGAAACTCGATTCTCATCCGAATAATAGCACTTTGTGTCACCGAGTGTGTGTTACTCCTAAGCTCCTGGTGGGGACTGAACGTGTCAGTCAGTCGAATGTGACAGTAAGTTGGTTGCCACTGGCTATTGTCATGCCATGAAGGCGTAGAGTGTCTTTAGTGTTGTCGAATCCCAGTTTACAAGTGTAAATAGTTTTAATGTCATTCCCTCTGCTGGTTTCAGTCCTCCCACTTTCATGTTCTCCTCAACGACACTTGACAGGCGATTTACAAGGCATAAGTAGCCGGGTAACAACCATTGAGATTAAGCAATGTCGGGAGTAGCTAGTACTTTGATGGGTGACCACTTGGGAACATCACAATTTCGAACAGCTAACACATTTCCCGACCACCATCAGGGAAGCAAAGAAGTCGCCCCTCCCCGTCTTTCTCTCTGGACTATCTCCCTTGTCCTTCTGAACTGTGTTTTGTCTCCAGTTTCCTTATTTGTTAAATGCAATATCCTCCCTCCCCTCCCCACACTCCTTTTCCCTATGTTTTCTTAGTCTATTATAAATTAGTTTTTTTTTTCTTTTTTTTTAACTTGTACATAATTGAAATGTTCCTTCTTTGATGTTTTAATTAGCTATATTTATAATCTTCCCCCCCCCCCCCCCTTTAAGTTGATGCTCCTCATCATAATCATTATAAACCACTTCTGCCGCTAAGCGGCGTGGGGAGAAACGATCTGCGACACAGTGTACTTTGGTCGCCACTGGCTACTTGTCATGCCGTGAGAGTGTCTTTAGGGTTGTCGATACATGTTTTAATGGTTTTGATCTGGGAGCCCAGGTCATCTGTGAAGGGTTCCGGCTCCGCTGCGAAGCGAGCCTGCGACCTCCCGATCCGCAGCGAGCGTCTGGCCGCTTCGCCACAGCGACTTTCAACTTACAAATGTAAATAAGTTTAACGTCTTTCTGTTCCCTTGTCTCATTCCTCCCACTTTCCTCTTCTTTTCAAAAACTGGCTTGGCGATATACCAGGTATTAGCAACCGGTTAACAACAACCACGGAAATCATGCAATGTCGGTAGTGGCCAGCACCTAGATGGACTACCTCCCTTGTCCTTCTGAACTGTGTTTGTCTCCAGTTTCCATATTTGTTAAACGCAGATATGCTCCCTCCCCTCCCCCACATTGTTTCTCCTATGCTTTGTTAGTCTATTATAAATTATTTTTATAAATCTGTAAATAATTGCAATGTGCCCACTTTGATGCTTTAATCCGCAATGTTTATAATCTTGTTTCGCCTTTGAGTTTGTGCTCATCATCATCATCATAAACCACTCCTGTCGTCAAGCGGCGTGGGGAGAAAGGATCTGCGATCCAGTGTATGTTTGCTGCCACTGGCTATTGTCACGCCGTAAAGGTGTAGAGTGTCTTTAGTGTTGTCGATCCACGTTTTATTGGTTTGACCTGGGAGCCAAGGTCATTGTGAAAGGTCCGGCTCCGCTGCGAAGCGAGCCTGCGACCTTTCGATCCGCGGCGAGCGTCTAGTCGCTTCGACACGACGACTTCCAATCTACAAATCTAAATAGGTTTAACGTCTTTCTCTTCCCTTGTTTCATTCCTCCCACTTTTCTTTCCTTTTCAAAAACTCTGGCCTGACGATATACCAGGTATTAGCAACTAATTAACAGCAATCACGGAAATCATGCAATGTCACGGGTGGCTAGTACTTAGATGGGTGACCACTTTGAAACGCCACAGTTTCCAACAGCTAACATATTCTCCGACCACCACCAGGAAAGCAAATAGTTTAATAGTTTGCGCCGCCAACCCCCCCCCCCCTTTCCACTTGTCTCCACCCCCCCCTCCCCCCTTCCACTTGTCTCCCTGGACTATCTCCCTTGTCCTCCTGAACTGTGTTTTGTCTCCAGTTTTCTTCCTTGTCAAGTCTGATAGTTTCACCATTCCTTGGACCTCGGAGGAGTCCTTTACTCAGGCACTTTCATCTCGCAGCCGATGATTTTACGTATATGGGCTGTAGAAACTGTCCATGTCAAGCACTGGTTGCTTAATAATGAAATGAATATCCCGTTAATAATCTGTCTCCTTGCACTCATAGTTAGGCCTAGATGGCTTAACTATGGTAAATATTTGTATATAAATGCACTTGCTTTCTGACATGTTATGCTAGTTACCACTTTATGCTGACACATTGCCGGGAAAGGCAATGTACAGACATGAGTGGTGCCCCGTGTCCTTTTGCTTTCCTTTCCATCTCCCCTTACCCTGTCAGGCCTACTTGGGGGTTGTTTCCCATCCCGTCTTGGCTTCTACTGTAAATATTTGATATGACTCAAAATAATATTGTTTTGCATTATCATCGTTTTAAAAATATTTTTTTCTGTTTAAAATGTTTAATGATAGCCGAAAGGCAGATGTTAATATATCCTGCTGCTTCTACCTAAAAAAAAAAAAATTCTATTTATTTTTCATCGTTTGTTTCCCTTGTCCGCCTACGCTTTCGTGCCCCCTTTTCTCTTCTCCTTCTTCCCTTCTTTCTTTTATTCTCTCTTTCCACTCACTCTGTTGTTGTAAATATATATATATCTTAAAACCTGTAAAACATTACCATCGAAATGTACCGTTTCCGCTGACAGACCCAACAGCCCCAGCTTTCCTCGAACCCACTGAACCTCTCTGCCTCCCCCTGTCTCTATTTTCTGTCAAACCATCATCATTTTTTGCACATCACCTTATTGATTTTGCTTTTGTTTTGTAAAGAGAATTTGTATCTGATGTTTTGAAACAATAAACACTTTTAAAAATTAAAAAAAAAAAAACGAATGTGACAGCCTGATAAACACAAACTTAATTTATTTAATCCTGTTTTGTACGAGCTCGTTTTAAAAAGTGACGTTAATCACCAAACCTCACAGTGGCCGGCAGCAAAACAAGTCACACCAAGTCGTCCTCGGATGCTTTTTGATCGAGAGTCCTACTAAAAGGCAGTAAATGTTTCGGCGGTACTCTCACTTTAGCTCACCCCAAACATGGGGAACCTCGGAATCGTCGTGCAAGTTCAATATTATAGGGCGTTAGCGTTAGTCGGTGTTTATTTCAAACCGTAACACCCCTGTCATATTGACTTTTCCGGGGTTTTCGGGGTTCCCGTGTTTAGGGTGAGCTAAAGTGAAAGTACCCTAAAAGACATAATTACAATTTCAATCATCCTAGAGACCGGATCGACGCTTCCTTCGTAGTCGGAGTTCATTTGCTTGAAAAAAAAAGGAAAACAGAAAAATGCACACATCTGTAAAACGGATGCACACGCAAAGCTCGATTCCTAGGAACAAAGTTAAGGTACATAAATGAACAATCAGCCAGGAATTCTCCCCTCCCCCTCCTTTAAGACTTCAATAGTTTGTAACTGCTTTTTAAAGTATGACACATTGTTCTGAATTTTTACTTCTTTAATCTTGCTTCAATATTTTAGAGCACGTTAATTTAAGAAAAACGGTAAGTAACTCAGAATATCTCGGACAAAGAAGATGAGAAATATGGACATCTTAAAAGATCTGAACATCAAGGAAGATTGGCTAATAAACAGCATTCTTTTTCGAAAGCTGAAATATTTTGGTCATATCAAGCGCCACGACGGATTGGAAAAAATTATACCAGAAGGCATGGTACCAGGAAGGAGGGGCAGGGGCCGACCGACACGAAGATGGGCACAGTATGTGACACCTTGAGTGTGAAAGTTCATGAGGCGGGAGAATTGGCAAGAGACCGAGTTTCTTACAGGCAGACTGTGATGAGAGCGACGTTCTGCAAAGGACCTGCTGCATGATGATGATGATGGTAAGTAACTCGAGGTAAGTTAGTTCAAAAATCAAGAAATGTTTATAATCGCATTTGAATTACGTTTTCAAACGATCAAGTTTAGAACAATTGAAAATCACAGCAATTTTTAACTGGACGTGATGTAATGCGGCTTCTGGTATACTCTCTCTCTCTCTCTCTCTCTCTCTCTCTCTCTCTCTCTCTCTCTCTCTCTCTCTCTCTCTCTCTCTCTCTCTCTCTTACACACACACACACACATACACACACATTCCTTTACTTATTGTAATTTATTCATTCTGTTCCATTCGCACTTTCTCGCTCATAGATGTGTGTAATATTCCTCATTCCTTCGTGCATCTTTCTCTCATTCATAGGCACCGGAACCTGGATGCGCAGGCACTCCGAGTCCTCAAATCCCAAATCATCGAGGGTCCTATTATAGCCTTACGGTTGAAAGGGATTTCTGTGATTCATACTTAAGAGATTCTCCTGCGAAAAGCGACTTTTTGAGCTCTGTGTTGCTGTGTGTTAATCAGTCACTACATTCAGGGCATTCTTGCCGATCAATCCTGGGCATTCTTGCCGATCAATCCCTAGATCCTGGGCATTCTTGCGATCAGTCCCTAGATCCTGGGCATTCTTGCGATCAGTCCCTAGATCCTGGGCATTCTTGCGATCAGTCCCTAGATCCTGGGCATTCTTGCCGATCAATCCCTAGATCCTGGGCATTCTTGCGATCAGTCCCTAGAACCTGGGCATTCTTGCTGATCAATCCCTAGATCCTGGGCATTCTTGCGATCAGTCCCTAGATCCTGGGCATTCTTGCCGATCAATCCCTAGATCCTGGGCATTCTTGCGATCAGTCCCTAGATCCTGGGCATTCTTGCTGATCAATCCCTAGATCCTGGGCATTCTTGCGATCAGTCCCTAGATCCTGGGCATTCTTGCCGATCAGTCCCTAGATCCTGGGCATTCATGCCGATCAATCCCTAGATCCTGGGCATTCATGCCGATCAATCCCTAGATCATGGGCATTCTTGTCAATAGCATACATGGAGCCAATCTAGAACCTATGATCACTCTTATATTTCGAACTTTTAAGAAACTAGTCTTATTGTTTATTTGTGAGCCAAGTGGTGCGCAAATCTGGCCGCATACTTACGCAGAGGCGTTTCTGTCAGTAGTCCTCAATCATGCGCCATATGCACCATATAAGATTACACAGTGCATTAACAAGAAAGAAGTGGGGGGGGGGGGAGATTTGGGCAGTAATTCTTCTTCTTCTTCTTCTTCTTCTTCTTGTTCAGAATTCCGAAGTTACTTAGGCTCACTGCTACAGATATCACCCCCTTCATTTTTTTTTTCTGTAATTGCCACAGTTGGCTCCACTCTTACCTCATTTATTTTGCGCAACTCTCTGGTTGGTGACCTACAATGTTTACAGGTTTGCATATATAAATATATATTTATATATATCTCCACGGCCTTCTTGGTCTTCTTCCTACGCAACTCTTTCGTGCACTATTTTCTGTTTCTCTGTCTCTGTCTCTCTCTCTTTACGTCCCAACCACTGCAGTATATTTAGTCGTTATGGTGCCACTAATTTATGGTGGACTGCAATATTTGGGTGGTTGAAACCCCACCCACTGCGAACTGTTTTGACTACGTGTGCTTTTAGTTTCGCATTTACTTATTTTACATACAATTTATTACAATTTATAGATAAAAGATCTAAAATACGTTAAATCAAACAATATTTAGTTGTATGAGAAATCTCATAAATTTAGAAATGCATTTTATACTAAACTTCGGCTGTGATAGTTTAATCTGCGAGATAACCAATCAGGCGAAGGTTTGCATCTGTGGTGTTTTATCTCTGCCGTCACCAAAATGGACGGCAATAAGGATGAGAGCGAGAAGTGTATCTCAATAGCTCTACGATTCATCGAGTCAGGAAACATCGACAAAGCTAAGAAATTTCTCCAGAAAGCACATAAGCTGTTTCCATCAAAGAAAGCCACAGGTGTGTACAGTATCAGTTTTTAAAATGAATAAACTTAACGTTACCATCCCTTTGATGTACGTCCCTCAGGGTCAGTTCTCGCTCACTGTTGATAAGAGTAAGAGCAGTCAGTCAAATGGATATATTAGATATATCAGTTCACATATCACGTAGATCAAAATATTACCATAACTTTATTATACAAGAGATTTCCCCACCTCAACGCTAATATTTATGTCAGAATTAAACACGGTATATTTTAATGTTATTTAATATTTTAATCATATTTCAATGCGAGATTTATTTTTCAGTCATTATTTGCGTTGAATCTGTTACTGTTATGTTATTGCGAGAGCTCAGTGATGAGAGAATGAATGTATTATAGGGTAGCGGTTATGATTACTGTGTCATCTAAATTATTTCTAAGTTAATTAAATATTTTTTAATTTAAAAATTACAATTTTGTTACTAGAATACATAACTAGGAGTATAGTAGTATAGTCTAGGTACTTTAGTCAAATTTTCAAAATAAAACCAGCACAGATAGCTGTAAACAATCTCTTTCCAACGGTACCTCATTTAGGCTTGTATGTCATTTCTGAGCTGAGATATGAAGGTTTTTGTGGAGATTAGATGTAGAAAGCAGCTGCTAAAACTTGCGTCTTAGAAACAAGGTTTTCTCTGTGCAACCAAACTGCGCACTTATCGTTTTGGCTTTGTTTACATTAGACTGTCATTGGACAAGATGGCAGACAATGAGACACAGCCACTGGCTGACCCAGCGATAGCCTGAAAAATGTCATTGTACATCTACCTAGCCACGGTTCAGAAAGAAATTTTATACACAAATGTAAAATTGGACGGAGAATTCAGTTATAACTAGCATTACCAGGACCAGTAACAGTTAAAGCCTAAAGCCAACCCTGAATACTTATCGCTATTTTCAATCAAACTGATGTAACAGAAAAACAGGACGTCCGGCTGTCGTAGACATGCGCTGTTAATCGGGTTCCTTCCTGCCGTTTTCAGCTTTTTATAGTGGGTGAAAATCACACCGATCGCAAAATTTCATGAGAGATTAGGACCCATCCCAAAACCCCAGCCGACATTTGCGAAGCAAGTTTCGAACGGTTTCCATGGTAACGGAAATTGCCAAAAGACCGCCAATTGCCGAACACCGTAGTCGCTATATAGTCAGTGTACCAATCCAATACACATAGCCTGGTAGTACCCCTGTATGTTGCCACAAACTATATTTTTTGCACATTGGGCATCCCCAAGCGTGCTCAGTCCTCTGATGCAGCAGCTACTCCAAGGTACCTCTACTGATTGTTCACTTGAGGACTTGTAGTATCCCCTTGAGAAGTTGTAGTATCTCTTTTCGGCTATCTTCCAAATAACGGTCCCAAATTATCTTGGCCGGAAATATGCCCTAACAGGGAATCAGTCATATTAAATTGGTGACCCCTTCACCGCATGCCACGGAAAAGCTTCTAGGTTAAAGTCACTGCTAAGAGTTTAATGTGCGGAGGGGGGGGGGGGGGGGGGGGGGGGGGGGCTAAACTAGAGATGGCTGGGACTTACAAGCAGCAGCTACCACATCTTCTGCAGCTTCCTCCATTTTATTTGCTAGTGAGTCCCAGCCATCTAATTTAGCCCCTCTACATGCCGCGGGACGATATAGTCACCAGAAAGAGGTCCGCAATTTACATATCACTGAGGCCCTGTTAGGGTATATTTCCGGCCTCAATAATTTGGGACCGTTAATCGGAGGATAGCCGGCTGCGGAACCCACATGGGGATGTGCACATGCGTAAAGTCTTGAGAGTAACTGTCACAGATACGGCAACATATATACCAAGTTTAGTATTAGAATAAGTAATCATGTTTCTTGGGCATGGTTAGGCTAAACAGCAGTCCCATTTTTCATTGTTTGGTACACGTTTGAAATACCTGATCCCATACATCACGTTGGTTGGGGCTGAAAGAGTTGAATGAATGAAGTGATCTGGTTAAGTTACCTACATGAAGGTGGCACAGAAAATTGCTTACATGAGTCATTGAGTCAGATTACACATAAACTAGCTTACCTTATTATGTGATCTTTTGTCCTCAGATTTACTTGACAAGTTGGAACACCACACAGCTAATGGCAAGAGCAAGGACGGTGATTCTACCCGTGCGCGCCAGAGGAAACACAGTCATTCAAAAACACCTGATAGCAGCACTGCTGAAGCTGAAATTGTTCACCACATTGAGTATACAGAAGAACAGTTAGCCTCTGTCAGAAGGTACTTTTTTCTGATGTTAGTTTATCTAGTAAATGTTAGTTGGGTTATCATCATTGCACTCCGGGATTGTCCATAGGTGCTCAGATCCTCCTCTCAGTATGAACACCAGTATCTAGTGGCTAATAGTACCAGTTCTGTGTTGATTTACAAGTCCTCTGATGTGCCTGGTATGCGTCTCGTTTTTCGCTATGCCGATCTTTAACTTCCAAGTCTGTCATTCTGGTGAGTAATATGGATTCACTGCTCCCAAGGAGTGTTGTGCTTCAATCTTTGGCATTGTTTGCCTTAAGTCATATGATACTTTATTGAGCAATTTTGTTATCTGTTCAAACTAAAATTAAAAAACTGCCCCATTAGGGTTTTGAGGCTCCTGATGTAGGGGTACATAGCTGGTGCCAGTTAGAATGTTTTTAATTTGTAAAAGCATGTAATTGTTAGCTCTTTTTGTGGTACTATGTCAAGAACTTCCTTGTAGGCTTTGGAACATGCATAGTTTTGTTTCTTTTAATTACTTCAATAGTTTATTATTAAAATGTGACTATTAGAAGGCAAGTCACTATCTGTCAGAATATTATAAGGTTTAATTTTTTAAACATTGCCATCAGTTAGTTTCTAATGTGGTATCTCCATGCTCCTGTGCTTAATACAGCCTAAGATAATTATAGCCTAAATATTTAAAAAAAAATTATTTAAACATTCTACCTTCTGTTGCTTGATAATTTCAGCAGAGGCCATCTTCTGCTTGATAATTTTGTTTTTGAAAGCCAAGTTAATGTAAAAATTTTCCTATGAACCTCAGTGCTAGGGGTCACAGAATCATAGCATGAGTCACCTAATACATTTTATGCACAAAGTATTTGTCGGATTGTTAGTATCAATGTTAAAATGACTTTTTCTGATAACTTGGTCAATTTGTCAACAAGCCAAACAACATCTTGAGGCTTCAACAATGTAATTTTAGAAAAGAATGCTTGATCTTTGAACAGTTTAACTGCCTGCTTTCATGGCATGGCGGTGTGAGCACATAAAGTTATACAAGCTTTTGAACGTCACAAGATCACCCACACCAGATGGTGTTCACATTTGTTGTTAGTCTTTTCACCCCAAGATGCGTAAGTCCAGGCACTTCTGGTGAGCCACTATTCAGTAAATGCCTATATGTGGCCATGTCTGCAGTGACCTGTTATCGAAGAGTAAAGTTATATTCTCTTGGTCCGGTGTGCACCTGCACAGTGTTTAATGCACCAGGATATAAATATAGTAACTAAAAAATAGCATTTAAGGGTCTTCCTTGTGATCCTAATGGGTTTTTGGAAGCCAAGTTGATGTTTTTGAAAGCCAAGTTAATGTAAAAATTTTCCTATGAACCTCAGTGCTAGGGGTCACAGAATCATAGCATGAGTCACCTAATACATTTTATGTTTTTTTTTAAATCATCAAAGAATGTATTCCATATAATGCTTCACTCTGTTAGTGTTTATTGATATTAGGGCTGTACTGAATTGTGATTTTCACTATTCGGCCGAATACGAATAACGGGACCACCTATTCAGCCGAATACAAATACGAATAGTGTTTAATAGTGTTAAAAAAAACATTCATAATGTCAAATGTGTGCTGAACTTTTACTTCACATAAAGTAGCACAGAATAGTCATTATCTTCTTTAGCATTCTGAGCCCTTGAGGTTTACTGCTGCAGATATCACTCGTCTCCATTCATCTCTCTGGCTGGCCTTCTCTTCACAATTTGTGACACCAGTTGTTTGCAGGTCTGTCTGGACATTATCTCTCGAACTTTTTTGTCTGCCTCGTGGTCTATGCCCATTCCTCTCTAAGGTGTATACAGTTTTACTTCTCTGTCATCTGACATACTTTCAATATGCCATAACCATTTTAGTCTGTTAGCTCTCATGATGCCAGTGATCAATGGTGATTTAAACAGATTAATTGTTACGTTGTTGCTTCTCACTCTCCATTCCCCACTGTTAGCATCTTTAATGGGTCCAAAGATTTGTCGTAAGACTTTTCGAAAACCTGTAATAAGGCCTCATCTCTTTTATTTCTACTTCAAGTTTCAGAGCCATTATGTATTTTGATCAGACACTTTGACTTTAGCAGATGTTGAAGGGCATAGTATACTTTATTTCTAGATTGTATTTCTTCTCTCATCATGTTGGAGCAGTTGAAGTTTGCACCCAAGTACTTATATGTTTCAGTTCGTTTGATTTTCATATTATCGACTTGGATGTGGCTGGAGTTTATATTCTTTCCATGTCTGATTAGTATTCGTACAGAATAGTAAACATTTAAAAACATTTTGTTTTTCATCCTTCGGTCAGTCTGTGGTAACTAATAACTAGGAATGAAAGAATCCTAAGTATTTTAACAAGTAACTAAATTTGGAAATTGTCACTGACAGGTTAGTATGAAAGCTGCATTTGCTTTCAACAAAACCAATCGTTCCATGTTGTCAGCATTAAGGCAGTGTATGCAGAAGCTGGTGTAAGGTAACTAGGTAACTACTATTCGTATTTGGCCCGACCGCAACTGTTCGGCCGAAAACCGAATAGTCAATAGGTCCACTATTCGGCCCCGAAGCAAATATTAGGTGCAGCCCTAATTGATATCTTTATATATTGAGGGGGGGGGGGGGTAATTTTCTTGAAACTAATAATAACCTATTTAGTATGGTTATTTTTTTTCATGCAACTCCTATGGGTTCATCCCCCCCCCCCCCCTCCATTTTTTCATGCAACTCCTATGGGTTCATGCCACCCCCCCCCCCCCCCCCCTCCATTTTTTCATGCAACTCCTATGGGTTCATGCCCCCCCCCCCCTCCATGTTTTCATGCAACTCCTATGGGTTCATCCCCCCCCCCCCCCCCATTTTTTTATATGCATTGCCGGGGTGAAAGGATGAATCCGTATTCTTCTGTTTCTGGTATATAATGTTCACGTATGATGCTAAATGGAACAGTCTGTACTAATACAGCTTTCATCATTTCACAGGATCAACACCTGTAAAGATGTATACGAGGTGCTTGAGCTAACTAAAGAGTTCACGGATTCAGACCTGAAGAAAGCCTACAGGCGGTTGGCATTGCAGATGCATCCAGACAAAAACAAGGCGCCTGGTGCAACAGAAGCTTTCAAAGGTTACAATGACCATTTGTCCCTTTCTTGCTTTGTTTAAGAGTGCTTGCCTTGGTTTTAATTATCTGTGTGGGTCCTAGTTATTTGCCTATTTATTTGTATTGTTGTGTAAGGTAAATCTATGCACCAGACCTAAACAAATCACACCCGAAATAAAATAGGCAATGAAAAGAGAATAGATAACAGGAAATTCTACAACTGGTTTGAGTCGAGTCAGGAGCCAACATCACAGCAATCAGGACATTCCCATAAATGTTTTAACAATAACAACCTCTTCTTCTTCTTTGCGTTTGGTTTCGTATGCTCGGATCAGACCGTCACGTGGGTTTGCCTCTGTGAACTGGTATGTCAGCAGCAGGTCTTTCATGGTTTCCCATAGCTTGCTGTGCACACTTTGCTCTTGAGGCTAACATCATCATCATGTGCCCTGCCAACTGGCGAAGGCGCTCATGCGTCTCCACAGATCACGATCCCTGGTTGACTGGAACAGCTCTCTTGATGATATCCCTCCTTGCCATCGTTTTAGCCCATCCAGCATCATCTCTCTTGGTCTGCCTTTTCACTGATCTCTCTAGTTGTCACGATGTTTTCCAATGTCTCTCTTCTCATTATGTGGCTAAAAAACAGCATTTGTCTCTTTCTTATTGTTGTATATAGAGATCTACTTTCATTAGCTTTTTTCAAGCAATCGTTGTTAGTTACTCTGGCCATCCAAGGTATTCGTAACATTCGTTTCCGAAACCACATCTCTGTTGCTTCCAATTCTTCTTAATTTATTCAGTGACATTACAGGATTCGCTGCCATACAGCAAAACAGGTTCTGTGTAACATTTTAGCAACTTCATTATGACATTAAATGAGAACTATTTATTGCATAAGATATTTTTCATTTTCTGAAATGCAGAGTTGCCTTGACCTATTCTGCTTTTAATCTCTGTCACACATTTTCAATCTGATGATATGATTGTTCCCAGATATTAAAATTTTTTTGAAGGCAAACAGTGAAATCAAATATTAATACTTTTTTTGTTGTTGATTGGTATGGCATATAGAAGATTTACATGTTTTACTGTTTCTGTGTTCTCCCATAAAAAGCGGTTGGCACGTTGCCTTGTGGTTTACAGGTGGGCTGCAGTATCTGCGCCTTTCTATCCAGCTCATCCAGTTTTAACAACCCCTTATTACTTCTCACCTTTTACAACATACTTATTTAGGAATGGGGGGGGGGTCTATTAAACCTCCCTCCCTCCTCTTTCCCCAGATGCGACCCCAGAACCGACACAGGTAAATGTTGTATGACGATGATAACTGAAGCATCAGCCTTGCCTGTATTTGAGAGTGATTGCAGACAAAACTGATCATCTGTATGTTTATAAAGATAAAATGGGTTATTATTCTGCCCATGTGCATCCACAGCAATAGGAAAAGCCTACAGCATCCTCAGTGATAAAGAGAAAAGACGACAGTATGACTTGTATGGTCCGGAAATGCAGCCTAGTCGATTAACACGAGATCGTGAAGAATATTCACATGGATATGAAGGTAGGAATTTCTTTTATATACTCTTATGTGTGTAAGCCTTATAAAGCTACTTGTTGTAGGCAAAAAGTCAGTGTGTGTAGAGAGTTAAGACAGTCAGGGCTGTTGTACACGGTTCGCAGGATGTGTTGTCCATGTTCGGGGGACTGCCGATATGAGTGTATTTGTCAGGTAGTTCATCAAATTATTGTTGAAACAAGGATGATCCAACGACAGGCCCAACAAGCCGGTAGGGGATTTGTTTGTTCAAGCACCATTGCTCAAGATTTATGGTGTATTTTGAAGAAAAAGCCCGATTACACCAGCGCTTCAAACCGCCACACACAAGACAGAGTCATGAAAGAAACACCGGCCAAGATAGACAGATCCGGCACGACAGTTTTTAAGATGGCTACATGGAACATTTGTGGTATGGGAGATAAAGTGGCTGAATTGGTTAAATTTATGATTAAGAGTAAAGTCAAAGTTTTGGGAATCGCTGATATCAGAAGAAAAGCTCAAGGCGTCCAGAAAATTCATAAGAACTTTGTTCTGATTTGGAAAGGGACTCAACCACAAGAAACTAATAAACATGGAGTGGGTTTTATCATTGCTCCAGAAACAGCAAAATATTTACTAGATTCAGAATTCGTGTCAGAGAGAATCATAAGTATCAGACTGGCTGCAGGTAAAAGAAGAGTATCGTATATTCAAGTATATGCTCCTTGCAACGACACTTACACTGAAGAAGAGAAAACGGAATTTTTTGACCAACTTAGTGAAACCATTAGTAAAGTTACAGACACTGATGGCTTGTATGTGATGGGAGATTTCAACGGACATGTGGGAGAACGTCGACCTCCATGGTCCACATATATGGGACCATTTAGTGACAAAGAAAATAAATGTAACAACAATGGAGAACAATTACTCAGTGTATGTGCAGAGCATGAACTAATTATCAGCAACACGCTATACCAACATAAGAGAAGCAAGATATTGACCTGGTATAAATTGAATAATATTAACCAAGCATCACAGATAGATTTTATTCTCACAGTCAACTACCAACTGGCACCACTTCTTTGTCATCCAAAGATCTCGTTACCAGCCAAGCAATGGATGATCAACAGCATTTTCATCCCTACGTTATGTTATCAGTGCCAGACGTGGACAATGAACAAATCACATATGCAAAAAATAACTACGTGTAAAATGCGATGTCCCCGAAGAGTCACCAACAATACACGAAGAGACAGAGTCACAAACGTCAGCATTAGAGACAAAGTTGGAACAAGAGCATGCATGGAACATATTGAAAGACAGAGAATGAAGTGGTTTGGCCATTTAGTAAGAATGCAACTTGATCAGATTGCCTATAAGGCCTTTTACAGTAGAACATCGGGAAGAAAGGCCAGAGGAAGACCCAGGAAAAATGGATAGATGGAGTAGCTGAATACGGCCAGAAGATCCAGAATACTGTCACTCAAATCACGCGAGAAGCACAAAACAAATATTTTAAACCACGACACTGGGCTGCAACCCGGTAAAAGTGAAGAAGACAATAGATAGATAGATAGTGAGTCATTGATCTTCAGTTTATCATTTTTGCAATGGGTTCATCCAAAATAGAGACAGATCACACTATAAGAATTGAACTTTTGAATATATTCACTCACTGTTAATTAATAAACCCCTTTATAGAAAATTAACACAAATTTGTGATTGTTTTGCAGGCGACATTTCGCCGGAGGAATTGTTCAACATGTTTTTTGGTGGTGGTGGTTTCACATCAGGTAAGACTTTAGACTTTCAAGACAGTGGTACGAGAGTCGTGCGGTGGAAAGGATAATGACCTCACCACACAATATTCTTGCGAAGACAGCAGTACATCCAACCTCACTTTTGGAGACAACATGTTAATGAAAAACTGTATCAGATTATAGTGAGGAAATAATAAAAATTGGACATTGCTTTTATCATTTTTCTGTGAGAGTCCTGATAACACAAGGTGTTTAATGTATTATAATATATTAACTCTTTTAAAGCTACCTTCCTTTTGTTTAAAAAAAGTCCCACCTCCATTGTTCCTTTGTAAGTAATTTTTTTTTAAGTACTTTATTTCAGTACTTAGTTGTCAGTTTTTTAAAACTACATTTTAATGGCAAGCTTTTATTTAGAAGAAAGCTACACATAATGGATGCCACAATGTCTGCATATACTTGCCCACTGAGACAGTCGTTGGAGTTTAGTCCCCACAAGTGTCTGGATTTATTTCTAACCAGTAACATTGACAAAAACCTAGTGACGGTATATCTAGAATTTTTTGTTTTGGAATTCACAGTCAGGAAATAAAAGCAGACCCCAAAAATGAGAAGGCAATTGTTAGTGCCAATATTTTGGCAGAAGCTAAAAGAGTTGCACACACATATAAACACTCATGCACAATAGTATGATCCGGCAGGTCGAGGCAGGCTTTGTACGCAGACAGTGGATCAATTCATTGCAAAACTCCACTGTGCATGGAGTTACCTTCATCTTTGTGCCAGGGCATGGGGGTGTTTTTGGCAATGAAAGGGTCTATAGATTAGCCAGCTCTACCTTAGTTACAGAGGGCCGGCCTATGGATCGTGCCGACATTGTTAACGCCATTAGAAAGATGGGACGTTCGGAGGATTTTGGGAGCAAGACTTCCACATATTTGCTAAGAGTGCAAGAATTGGGAACAAAGATCAGCACAGCCAGGCATGAGATTCACACCAGATACACTAGAAGTCTTGTCAACCAACATGGGATTAGGACTGTCAACCGCGGGACGCTGATGTGTATGTTGAAAGGGAAAATCTGATCACCTATGGACGTGTCCGGAGTGCCATAAAGATAAACCAAATGATAACTTATTTACAATATTTATTCATACCTAATTTTGTAAACCTTTCTGTTTTTCTTCTCCATTGTGGCATTTATGACCTGTGTAATATTTTGATTATTGATAAACATGGCTACACTAGTGCTTATAAAGTCTTTTTTCCTATGACATTTCTTTTGTACTCAAACAATCTTGACTGAAACTAGTAGTTTTAGTAGTTTCACTTTAATTTAACTTATTTTCAAGTCACATGATACGTTCTTATGTCAGTCTTTGCTGCTTGTATTTACCACTTTTTGAAGCAATGTAGAGAAGAATAGTCTAAGGATTTAGAGTCACTCTAAAAAGCGGGATATGATTTTTTTTCCTACAGAAAAGAGAAATGATTTTCTTACATACCTTTGTAAATTGGATTTTTTTTTTTTTTTTTTTTTTTTACTGCAAAGAAAGTTCTGTTTTGTTCTGTGATCACTCATCTCCTTTTGGCCTAACACATCTAACTTCAGCAAATCCCTAACTGGTCGTCCTTTATGACATGCTTCCTAAAGGAGCCAAGCCACCCTCCCTCCCTATTTGTTTCCCCATGTTTTATAAGGAACACATGTTAGTGTGCAGAGAAATGACAGCTGCCTGTCTAGTACTGAATGTAAGTAACTTGTTTTATTTATTTTCTAAGGTAATGTACACAGACACCATCAACATCATGCCAGGAGAACATTCTTCACCTACAGGGAACCTCAACAGTCAGAGGTAAATCTAACATTACACTTGTCACAGGGGTATGTCTGACATTACACTTGTCACAGGGGTATGTCTGACATTACACTTGTCACAGGGGTATGTCTGACATTACACTTGTCACAGGGGTATGTCTGACATTATGCTTGTCACATGGGTATGTCTGACATTACACTTGTCACAGGGGTATGTCTGACATTACACTTGTCACAGGGGTATGTCTGACATTACACTTGTCACAGGAGTATGTCTGACATTACACTTGTCACAGGGGTATGTCTGACATTATACTTGTCACAGGGGTATGTCTAACATTACACTTGTCACAGGGGTATGTCTGACATTACACTTGTCACAGGTGTGTGTCTGACATTACACTTGTCACAGAAGTACTTCTAATATTACATTCATCACAGAGATATGTGTAACATTATATTAGGAACACAGGTAATCCTAACCCTAACACTTGGTAGACTTAGCATAATTACAGTAGTGGAGGTATAACTTGCATATTTACAACAGTTGTGTATGTCCAGCATCAGTGTAACTGTCAGTGTGTGTGTCTGGATCTTATGTAATGTCTGGACACTAGGTTGTATTCTCACCCCCCACGCCAACAAGCATGTAGTAGGAGTTGACTAATTAGGAAGGTTTTTCCGTGTGGGTTCTAGGACTCCCATCAGGGGGGGGGGGGGGGGGGAGGTGGTTAGATCTACTGTCTCCGTAAGAAGCATGTCATAAGAGTAGACTAAATGGGGGATTTCTTTAAAGTTGGCGGGCATCTGCCTGAGAGGTGAGGAACCAACAGTCTGAATACAAATAAGCTGAATCTGTAAACTGGATGTGCACACAAAATTCAAGTTCTGGGACAGGACCAGAGTCCAGAAGTGGGCGAACAACCAGAACTTTCTGCCAGAGTTACAGCTGGTGAACATGAAGAAGAAGATACAAATGTCTACAAAAAGCCTTGTTATATGTTGCTTGAGTAACAGTGCTATGTTGGAAGATAATGGAAGAAGTGTACTTAGTAAAATTGTTATGATTTTATCAGTCATACAATTCTAGCTATGTTTGTTTTACTGTCTTTGCAGAGTGGCCTGACCTTGTTTTTCCAGCTAGCCCCTATCCTGTTGCTAGTTGTCCTGTCGATGTTGAGCAGTTTCCTTGTTAGTGATCCAGTCTTCAGTTTACAGAAAACAGAGTAAGTGTTTATATGTGTATTGGGAAATTATCATGTCTTTTGTTTTCCTAGATCATTTTCATGAGCAGAATCTGCAAGACATATGCTATTGTACCTGTTGACGTTCATTATGTGTCTACCAGTACTCAGGTCAACTCCTCGTATGTACCTGAATTATTACTGGAGTTAAAAGTCCAACCTCATTAAAGAGGTACCAGAATTATGGCTCTATGTGTCGACACTCAGAATGTAAACTTACATGAGATCAACACTTCTGTGTGGAGCATAAGTTTGGAGGGCAGCAAACAGTTACTAATAAAACTACAAATATTCATTAATCAATGCCTGTGCAGACTAGAAAGGCAAATGTGGTACGACAGAATCATAAACAGTGAATCAGTAAAGGTGCTGGATGGGATAAATTCAGCTGAGAAAGGAACTGTCAGTTAGAATGGTACCTGGTGATCTCACCTCAAAGACCCTTGATTTCTTCAGTATTTGTTGGTTGTTTCAAAAAGAGCAACCAAGAGGTTTTGAAGGAGGTGGGAGCCTGAAGACAACTTATCACAGACGTCAGAAGGAGACCGTCATCATTTTGCAGCCATGTTATGAGAAGAGAGGAAATAAAACATGTTGGGACCACTGGAAAGGTCTGTGGAAGGAGGGATAGAGGAAGACAACGAGAGAAGATTCTTTACAGTCTTGTTGCATGGCATGGAGGTGTATCAACAGGAGATCGCAGATTGTAGAGAGGCATGATCGCATACGCCAGTCGGCAAGGTACCTGATTTGCTGCTTTTCTGGCAGAAGGTCCAGGGTTGTCATCTGTCTCTGGACTATGGTCTTGTTTCAGGACTTGAGTCCTGCATGCACGTATGTTTTCCAGGTCCAGGTTATTGTATGCAAATAGGTTGCTTGCCTGTCAAGTGCATGTGCTCTGTCTTTGAAGGAAATGCTGATCCTGTCTGCATTGGCCATGCTCCCAGTGGGGAACCACTTAATAGAATGACTATGTAGAGATTCAGATAGGAATTGATCCCTGGTTCTGGTACACCACTGCTAGTGGTGATGCATCTCTGCATCCCACCTTTGACCTCATTGATGACTTGCCTAATGTTTGACACTCTGCATGGTCTCCATGCATGGCGTCCACCTCAAATGCTGGAGGTCCCGAGTTCAGGCCCCGGTGAACTCTGAGACTTTTTTTCAAATGGACTTCTGGTAATTTCCCCTCGTCTCTTGGTAGTAAAATCGGATGCCCATGTGTATTGTTGCACATATTTTTTTTAAATCCCTTAGTTAGTTAGTTATTCCTCTTGTGCCAAAGATGGCGCATAGGGCAGAGGTCATAGCTTTCCACGTCTGTCGGTTCGTTGCCACTTGATGTAGGTCTTGAGTGCGACTGAGACCTATGGTTGAGCTCTCTCTTGTGATGGTTCTACGGAGAGTTTCTTTTGGTCTTCCCTGTTTTCTTTTACCCTCTGGTGACCATATGAAGGCTTGGTGGGGAAGTCTCTGAATGTCCATTCTGAGTACGTGACCGATGTGATTCCAGCGACGCATTCTAATAAAATCAGACACATATTTTTGTTTTGTTTCCTGTCTTATAGATGTATTGGACCTAAAGTCCGACCAGTGAACATTCAATAGCTTTCGGAGGCATCTATTCTCGAAAGCGACTAGTTTCTTATCGATTGATACTGATGATTTCCAACTCTCACAACCATAAGTTAGCACTGGGATCACACAGGAATTGAAGACCTTATTTCTGGCTTTAAATCCCTTAGCAGTTAGAAATCCAAAAGAGTAGCCTAACGGCGCTGCCAAATTTAGAGAGAAAAATCTACCCAAGTATTTCAGGATCCTGGCCAGTGCTACAGAGTTTTTCCACTGCGCTGAGATTCTTTGGACTCAGGCTTGAGTTAACAGTAGAACTGAGCACTTATGGGTTATTGCCTTAATGCCATGATGTTTATTTCTTTTGTTTAAACCTTGACACCCTCCTGCTTTATTTACTTTTAGAGTACTGTATCCAGTTACGAATTTCTACCGGACTTAAATCCCAAGCTCTCCATCTTGTAACACTTTTTTTTTGGGGGGGATCATTGTTATGAATTAAAGCTGAATATGTGCCAAATCTTTCCATGCTATCCTTTGCTAACAGGTGCAGCTCACTCCATGTCCTCCCCATTTTTTGTCACTTTATTTTGTGATTCTTTTCTCATGTCTTTGGGTTGTGTTTATTCGTTTGACTCTGTATCGCAGTGCAAGTTCTCTTTACTTCTTGGAATTTTCGAATTAAAATGAAGTCTAGTGGTTCTTCACACTAGTATATTAACCTAACTATGATAAAAGGTGAATACATTTTTCTGTTTTTATAAAGCTGTTTTATATGTGTATATTTTATATTCAGTAAGTACAGAGTGGAAAGAAAGACCTCGTCTATGCATTTGACGTACTACGTGAAGGATGATTTTCATGTTGAATTTGCGTCAGACTTGCGGAGGATAGAAAGAGCAGTAGAGGAAGAATACATTGGGCAGCTACGAACCAACTGTTTTAGGGAAAGAAATTACAGTAAGTTCCCTAATCATGTTTTTCCTTTGACTTGTCCTCTGCCGTTAGGTGTGTTTATCTTGGTGTAATCTTATGTCTTCTTCATCAGGTCTTTTGCAAGACATTGCTCTGACCAGGGCATGATGGAAAGCCCCGCAGTCGATTTGAAATCATCCGTGTCAAGGGTACCCTTCCAATGTACCCAGTGTCTGGTCAATCCCTACCTCTTTCCTGAGAACTATACTCTTTATTATTATTTTCTGCATATTTCCTATATGGGTTCAGGGGCTCCATGATTAGGTAAAAGAATAGACCAGCTGTTCCCCTAATAACCTTGTCATAAAAGGCAACTAATTAGGAAACCAGTCTGCAAGTGAATGTCACATCTGTAAAATGTGTTTGCACACAAAAACTTAAGTTCTGGAAAACCAAAGTCCAGAAGTGGATGAACAACCAGGACTGTGAGCCAGTTCCTTCACTGTGTTCAGATCATAAAGAATTTTAGTATGTTTGCTCTTCTTGGGGTTCTGTTCAGGAGTTTCACCCCATCTCGTCCCGCTTAAGATTTCCCCAGGACTGTTTTACAGTCTAAGGGTGTTATGACCTGCTTTCGCTCAGTGTGTCTATGTATATACAGCATGCCGACAAATGTCTAGGCTTTATTTCACCTGGTCGACACACTGTCTCCCAAATGAAAGTGTGCAGCTTAAGCAGCTTTCTTCTTTTGTGTGGATGAGCAATGTTTATTGAATGTGTTGTTGTTATGAGTAGGTCTCAGGCGCCTGTGTGTAAAGAAGTACTGTAACAGGAAGAGCCGAAGGCACGACACTTCATGAGTATCGAATCGGTAATGTTGCTGTATTTTTACCCTCGTTGGCAGTGGATGTGCCATTCAGAACGAGGCACACATGACACCCCTGGATTATAGGTCAGTCGCGGGGGGGATTTCCTATGGAATCTTATGCCAGAGGAGGTGGGGTGAAAAACCTGAATAGAACCCTTCCTGGTCCTTGATGCTTTAAGAATTGTCCTGTAACCATTAAGATTAACCGTAAGGTTTTGTTTAGTGCTAGTAAAATAGTCCACTTTCACATCCCTAGGATGCAGTTGTATTTCAGCGCCCATGAAAAGATACTGTCTGTGTTCAGATCCTGAAGAATGTCCTTATTTTTGTTCTTTCTGCTCTTTGATTCCTTAAAAAGAATGCATCTGCCTGAGAGGCAGGAACCAACAATTTGCATAAAAATAAGCCAGATCTGTAAAGCAGTTTTTCTAAAGTCCAGACGTTTCCCACCTCCAACATAACATAATGGGATATAAAAGAGGAGGGCGAAAGGAGAACTCCCAAACACCATTAAAAAGAACTTGGAGAAACATTGACCTAAATCAAAGTGTCAAATAACAAAAGAAACAATCACCAACAACTAATATGCAAATATTAGTGTGATGGTTGACACTGTTTTATCTTCATGATACCTACTGTATTTTATCTGAAGTTGGACAAGACACAATGGAGACCACTCTCCAAATCAAGCTGGCAACGCTGTTTTTATGACTGTTGAAGCTGAAAATCCGATTTATTACAAGTACAAATGAGCTGAATCTAAAAATTGCTTGGCATCCTACTTAGAACATCCGTGTTCCCTCCCCCCTCCCCCTTTCCAGGTTGGAGACCACTGCTTTATCACTTTTATGATCCTTAAGGACTAGGGTTAAGTTTACCTCCATGAGAAGGGAAACATTCTTGTGGATTTTTTTACAGTAGTATGAGTGTCGAGTTCCACTTGACCAAGAAGTTAAGAAAAGAAGCTGTCGTTGGATAGGATACATGTTGAGAAAACTTGAGGATACTATAACTAGAATGTCATTGCACTGGAACCCAGAAAAGCAGGTAGATGGGAGCTAGAGAGGGAAGCTAAAAAGATTGGTAGAACATGGAGTGGGCTGAATGCAATAGCGAAGGATGGAATGAGTTGGTTGAGGGCCTATGCTCCATTAGAGGATAGAAGGCAGAAGTCACACTATGAAAGTGATTAGGGCCTCACCATGTAATATTCCCCAAATCAGGAGAATGTGCACTTTGGCCAGCCTCTGTTGTGTCAGGAGTATGTGCACTGTAGATAGCCTTTGTTGTGTCAGGAGAATGTGCACTTTGGCCAGCCTCTGTTGTGTCAGGAGTATGTGCACTGTGGCCAGCCTTTGTTGTGTCAGGAGAATGTGCACTTTGGCCAGCCTTTGTGTCAGGGAAATATGCACTGTGGCCAGCCTTTGTGTCAGGAGAATGTGCATGTGTACTGGCCAGCCTTTGTTGTGTCAGGAGTATGTGCACTGTGTTGTATGTGCCTTTGTTGTGTCAGGAGAATGTGCACTGTGACCAGCCTTTGTGTCAGAAGAATGTGCACTGTGGTCAGCCTTTGTTGTGTCAGGAGTTTGTGCACTGTGGCCAGCTTTTGTTGTGTCAGGAGTATGTGCACTGTTGCCAGCCTTCGTTGTGTCCGGAGAATGTGCACTGTGGCCAGCCTTTGTTGTGTCAGGAAAACGTGCACTGTGGCCAGCCTTTGTTGTGTCAGGAGTATTGTGCACTTTGGCCAGCCTTTGTTGTGTCAGGAGAATGTGCACTGTGGCCAGCCTTTGTTGTGTCAGGAGAATGTGCACTGTGGCCAGCCTCTGTTGTGTCAGGAGTATGTGCACTGTGGCTAGCCTTTGTTGTGTCAGGAGTATGTGCACTTTGGCCAGCCTTTGTTGTGTCAGGAGTATGTGCACTGTGGCCAGCCTTCATTGTGGAGACAGCGTATGATTTTTCTTTTAATTATTGACTTCACATATACTTAGGTTTTTCTGTTTCTGTTTTCTGCAGAAGAAAATATGATGTGGAGAGCAAGGAATTACGGAGATGCCAAGTTATACCAGAAGGCGGTGGATATGGCCACGCCGTCGTGTGATAATTTACAAAAAGTATATTCATGATTCATTTAGCACTGGATGTACGTTCATGTGATACACTTCTCTGAGTGTTGATTTTATTTTTTTCCCTCCATGTTTCAGACTTTGTGTGTGTTAAGTGTGTAAGTGTACATTTGTGTGGCTGAGAGCAGGTACATACACATTACGGTGGCTCGTGAATATTCGGAAAGCCTTTATATGTTTACGTGTTTGTTTGGCTTGTGTTTGCTGTAAATATTACCCTTTTAGTTTTTGAGTGGCTATGAACCAGATGTAAATTTATGGTTATGCATTTTTTGTGTATGTGGCAAGAGTTTGGCGATTATTTATATTTAATTTTTTTTTATCAGGCAAAATTGTGTTATGCAGAATAATAATTATTGTAAGCAAAAGGTAATGTACATTTTTTTCTGCATAATAGTATTGTAACAGTATTTAGAATTTTGTCTTTTGGACTACTCACCTGTCATAAATTTTAGAGAACTACATTGTAAATAGTTGGTGGGTGAGTTGGAGAAGTTCAGGTTTTTATGGGGAAGAATGTGCGTTAGTGTCTGTCTTAGAGAACCGGCTGGCCAAATAATTAAGAACAATGGGCTTTTATTTGAGAGACCCATGTTTGCTATCTTGGTAAGGTATTATGTGTGTGTGTGTGTACGTTTTAATTTTTAGTTGACATCAAAAAAAAAATTGTTAACCTGCACAGTTTTTAGTGACTGCACCAGCCGTGCGAGCCTAAATCCTTACCTGTCCTACACTGTTATAAAAGAGGTTACATCCTGGCAGTTAAGGCAGTTTTTCTTTCATTAGTATCTATTAAAGATGTGTGGAACTTGTTTACCTGCCCTTGAACACAATGTTGTAAATTACTTTTGTGACTGTAAATGATTCTATAAGTTTCTCCTCACGTTTATATGTTTTTGATATATCCATGGTAACCCATCTGAATCCCCTAGATCTACTAGCATTGCTTTCATTTGATTTCCATGGGAGTCAGAACCCTCCAACAAGTGTGTAACAACTTCCCTACCAAATCAACCAGCCCTGAAAAAAAAATGGTGCTGGAGCGTTGGACCCATACCAGGCCGTCTTGGCAGTCAGCCTCTTGAAAGGACAAGGCCTGGACGAATAGGACGACCATCAGGGGTGAGCATAGGAGGGGGGGGGTGTGATCCTGTGTACAGATCTTAGTGGTAGTAGCAAATATTTAAATAAGGACTTTGTAAGGCTGCATGGTTCAGCCATCTAGTAAGAATGCAGCCAGACCAGATTGCATGTGAGACTATTTACAGTAGAACATCTGGGAGGAGGGCAAGAGAAAGACCAAGAAAGAGATAGATAAATGTTGTAGATGAAACCTACAAAAATATGAATAAATCCGCACTCAAGAAGCGCAAGACAAATACAGAAAAACACGATACCGGGCTTCAGCCTTGTATCAGTGAGACGACAAAAGAAGAAGAAGATACAGCGGCATGGATCTTAAGAAACTGATGATCAGAGCACTTGAATTGTTACTGAAAATGAACTTTTTGTTACTGAAGTTAGGCCAGCTCACTAAACATAGATGCAAGAAATAAAGTATTCAAACAAAGAAAAAAGATAGATGGGTAAAGCTGTTTTTACATGCTATCAGTGTCCGGAATATGTGTTTGGCCTTATCTTCCTTATATGTTTCAGACAAAGGGGCACTCAGTGGGGGTCGTGTTCAATTTCACACTGCCTGCCTATTGAGAACATTTATGGTGCTCATTTATGGGCCTAAGCCAACCCTTTCTAGAACCATTTGATTGTGAAAGTTAATCCCACCTGGTCGATTTACAGACCACTACTGTCATTTTTCAAATGAGTCAACTATCTGTTCGTGCGTGTATTATTTATGATAAATCAATGTATATTATGTTTTTTGTAAGTAATATTAAATCAGTACTGGGGTGTTGAAACATATTTTCTGAAAGACAGCTTTTGGATTTTAAATCTTGAAAAGTAACCTACTGTTATCTCCAGATGACAAGGGTGCCTTTTCGCAGGAACATGTTTATTTGTTGTTTGCGTTCACCGGCTGTAAACTCTGGTAGAAAGACCTGGTTGTCCGACCATTTCTAGATTTCGGCTTTGTTCCGTGACCTGAGTTTTGTGTGTACATCTGTTTTACAGATCAATGCATTATTATCCCTCATTCTCCCCCCCCCCCCCCCCCCCAATTAGTCGCCTCTTACTTGTTTTCCCCCACCTGTCCCGGAACCTACATGGGAAGCAGGAACAAGTGTACCTTGACTTTTGATGCACCTGAATGAGGGCCCTAATTTCCTATAACTTTTGCCGGGTATTAAGAATTAATCATAAATGATGGGAAAGACACTTTTTAACCCCTTCTCAAGAAAGAGATTCCCCCCCCCCCCCCCCCCCCCGCACCCCCCCCCCACCCCACACAATTATTTTGCTCCAGAAAATTAAGCTGACACATTTTATGCTAAGCAGATTAAGTGCATCAACCAGATTTTTCTGTATACCTCAGCATTGTAATAGTTGTGATTATACTTTCAAAACAAAAGAATGGTTGCTCTTTGCCAGATAATCATTGTAATGTCTCTTCACTTTTTTTTTTATTCTTCTTTCTCTGTCTTATGTTTTTCTCAGCTAATGAAATCATGAAAAAGTTCACTGTATTTATATCTAATTTTTTATGGTGAAGATTGCTGTTATTAAACATAAATTTTCCTTTGATATTTGCCAGTGTTATTTATCGCAGATCATTGTGCATATATTTTAAGCAAGACAACCTCAGAGGTTTTCTATTAAAATATAATTAATTCCGACTACAGGAATTGGTAATAGCCGCCAGATATTGATGCTTAAATATCTTTTTATTTATTTCAAAGTGTGATTGTTCGAGTTTGTCACCACGTTCACATGGAATGGCAGGAGCCAATTCTAGCGATCGAGAAATGAATCACAAACCGTTCCCTCTCACAAAGTTTAACCACAAAAGGGGAAATTGATGGTGATTTTCTGTCATTTTAGAAACCTGCTTTGTTGTTGTTGTTAACTTCAGCAGGTACTAAAAAAATATTTTTTTTTAATATGTTTGATGTGTCTGTTGTAAGCCAGGTATTGTTGTTGTTAAATCTTTTCATCTTGTTTCCCTCCATGTGTTTACCTGCAGGGCTTAAATCTACATAGAGACACATTTTTATAAACATTTCCTGGAATCTCAAGATAATCCAGCCTGTAATGGGCAGCAGGAAATATTATGGGAAGTAAAATGGCTGGCTTTCTGTTGACCACATAACTCTAGTGCCAGTTGGTCAATACAAGTATGGACAAAGCACCATATGCGACTGGTGGGAAAAGGGTCTTTTACGTAACTTAGTTACCTGTATCTCTGCTTGTTTTCTTATTAATATACCAGGTGTTTTCTTTAGGGCTTTTACTTCCCCATGTTCTCTGCACATTATTTGAATGCATTATGAATGTGTGCATTAAGTTCATCATTGACAGTAAAACCACATTAACACAAATTCTAAGAGACCGAAAATTGAGTTCATGTTAAAATGTTTTCAAACTGGGAAGAAGGGACTAATAACAGTACATCCTCTCTGTGTGGGTTCCTGGGGGTCCCTTTGTTGGGAAAACAAGAACAGAACCTCTGCTTCCCCCACAAGTATGTTGTAAGAGTCAACTAAATGGGGGCTTCCTTTAATGTAGAGAGGCAAGAAACCAACAGTCTGTATGCAGATATTTCAGATTTGTAAAATAGATGTGCACTCAGCACTCAAGTTTTTTAACAAGATTAAAGTCTGGAGGTGGACGAACATCCTGAACTTTCCACCGGAGTTTACAGCCAGTAAATGCAAAGAAGAATACATCGCTGCCAGGACCAAGCTTTTGTTCATGTTAAAATGAGTGTTCTGCTTAAACGAGTTTGTGCTAATGAGGTTTTGCTGTTTCTTGAAATGTACCACTCTCATTAGAAACTTCCCTGGTCTTTAGTATGACTGGTGCCTTATTACAAGAAATATCTATCCTCTTACATACTTAAGTGTTAGTTTTTTTTAATTAGAGATAACATTTACATTTTAACTCCACATGATTAGATAGCATCTGCAAGATTAGGTAATTACTTTGCATTTTTCTGGGCACTTGATCATTGTAAGGAAGCAGACCTTATGCTTTCTGTAAATACAGAGGAATTGCTTACTTCAAAAATGTGGTTCTTAAAGAAGCTAATTTTCCTTTGTTGTTGTTGTCCATTTTTTGCACTCTCTTATTTATTTATTCTGACACAGTACTTCATGTAAGTGAGTGAAAGAGAGATATTGATGGATATTGTGTGTGGTGTGTGTACTAGATAGATAATGTACACAGTACTATGTAAAATTGTTTCTTTAATGTCTACAGCCATTAAAAGACATTACAGTTTCAGAGAAATGTTTTTTTCCCAAGCTAATTTGGCAACAACGTAGTTAGCAACTCAGAGAAGAGGCCCAGATGTTGTTGATTTAATTGCCTCTGTTCTATGAGCCTTCACTTTTTTTTTCTGTGTAAACATCTTGTAATAAATCAGGTTTTCAGAATTGTTATATTCTTTTTTTCTGTTGCCTGTATGGCAGTTGTGTTGTAATCCAAGAGATGTTAGGAGATCAGTAGTTGGTTCTGATGTAAAAATGCATTTACTGTTGAAAACCGCTGTATTGGGACATTTTAAAAGTTTGCTGTCTGTATATGCTACTTTTAGGGTGGTATAGGACAGAGAGCAGCTTACAGAAGAAGTGCTGGGCTCTCATGCTGGCGACCTAGGTTCAGATCCACAGTAAAGTCAGGAGATTTTTTTTCTGTCCGGGGAAAAAAAAATTTAATTTTCACCTGCATAGTCTGTGGCAGCAGTTCTCAACCTATGGGTCACGACCCTTTCACAGGGGTCACCTAAGACATAAAACTGAAGTTATGAAGTAGCAACGAAAATAATTGTATGTTTGGGGGTCACCACTGCATGAGGAACTGTTCTAAAGGGTCGCTTGTAT